TAAGTTGCAGAGCTGATATTTGGACTCAATCTGTGCCTCCAATGGTTGATCTCTTTCTGTAGCACCTGCCACCTTTCAAGGGACTGTCTGTAAACCTGAATTATCCCTGAGGACCCCAACCTTGTAGTTCTTATCTTGGCTGGCAATTATGGGAAGGGACCTGAGTGGTGTGGTGGAACAGACATCCTGGGCTGAGGTAGGGGACTAGGAATGGAGTTCTGGGTCTATTGATAATAATCTGTGTGGCTCTCCTGGGGCTATTATGATAATGCAGGTGAGAGAGGAAAGGGACCAGCTAGGAAGAAAATTAATCTATTTTGAAGATGGATCAAATGTGGGGTGTGAGAGAAAGAGGAGTAAAGAATTACCCCAAAGTTTTCAACTTAATCAACAGGAAAGATGGAGTTATTAATACCTAGAGCTGAGGAAGAAAAAATGCTTATGAACACATTTATTTATTTAAAATTTTTAAAAAAGATTTATTTATTTTAGAGAGACAGAGAGAAAGCACGCAAGCAAGGGGAGGGGCAGAGGGAGAGAGAGAATCCTCAAGCTGACTCCCTGTTGAGCTTGGAGCCGACACGGGGCTCGATCCCAGGACCTTGAGATCATGACCTGAGCCAAAATCAAGGGTCAGATGCTTAACTGACTGAGCCACCCAGGTACCCCCATACATTTATTTATTTATTAAGATTTTTTGTTTTTAAGTAATCTCTACACACAGTGTGGGGCTCGAAACCCCAACCCTGGGATCAGGAGTCGTATGCTCTGCTGACTGAGCCAGCCAGGTGCCCCTGAACACATTTAGATTTAGGTGGTTCATGAACTCTTGCTGAAGTTCAAGAATGGAATCTTGTGTGCAGCAGATGTGGTCATGGCCTACTTAGATCCTTGATCCTCATATTTTCAGCTACTTCTAATGGCCAGCAGCTGCCACCAGAGTCTTCCTGGTCTGGCACATGGCAGGTGAGAAGGGCTAGCAGGGAAATGCTTTCTGGAAGGGCTCTCAGCCAAAGCCTGGACTTAGTGTACACATACCCCAGCTCCCTCACCCCTCAGATGAGATGAGTTTGAAGTGTGTCCCTGTGCTCACCCAGAGGTCCCTACTGGGATTGAGCTTCCATTGCCTGCAGTGGTAGCCTGTTCGATAACACATCTTTGAACACATCTTGTACTGGCTGCCTTTCTTTCCCTGACTCACTTCTTCACCCTCCTGCTGGTGTTTCTGGGGATCACCTCCAAAAAACTACTTACACTTGAATCCTTGTCTCAGTGTTTGCTCTTGGGGGAACCCAAATTGAGACACTCTGGAACAGGGGAAGACAGGCTTGTGATGTGGTTCTAGTTTGCCTGGGATGGAAGGGTTCCTGGGACATGGGACTCTCAGTGCTGAAGATGGAAAGTGCTGGGCAAACTGGGATGAGTTGATCGCCCTTATAGGATAGTGCAGTACCAAGAAAACCAACAGAAGAGAAAGCTTCCAGAAGTAAAGGGGATAATGCATATGTAGATCAAACCATCATGTTGTACAACTTTTATCTGTTAATTATAAACAGGGAGCAAGGAGACTGGGGAGCAAGGAGGTGCCAGTAAACCTGGAAAAAATAAAAATAAACCTGGAAAAAAATAAACCTGGAAAACTTGGAAAAAATAAAAATACTTGATTATTTTTTTTTTATTTTTATTTTTTAAGATTTTATTTTTTTGACAGAGAGAGACATAGCGAGAGCAGGAACACAAGCAGGGGGAGTGGGAGAGGGAGAAGCAGGCTTCCCGCAGAGCAGGGAGCCCGATGTGGGACTCGATCCCAGGACCCTGGGATCATGACCTGAGCCGAAGGCAGACGCTTAACGACTGAGCCACCCAGGCACCCCAAAATACTTGATTATTAAAAAAAGAAGAAAAGAGGACCAATGGAGTCAACTGTGACCCAAATGTCAAGTTAGAATAGATTGAGAAGCCTCCATCCTTAGCACTGAGGAAGCATTTGGGACACTGAGCCATTCCTGGGTGTGTTGGAGGCAGAAATGAGACTGTAGTAGCTGAGTAGTGAGGGGGTGGGAGGAAGTGGGGACAGCAGAGCATAAACAACGTTTCTAGAATTTTGACTGTTGAAGAGAGAGGGAGAGAGAGAGAGAGGGAGAAAGAGAGAGGTAATTGCAGCAGGGAGGATTTTTTGGGTAGAAGGGACCTGAATGCCTCCCCCCTACTCTTCCCAGCCCCCCTATTATTCTCATGTCAGATCTCCTGGGACTCCCAGACTAATTTTTTTTCCTTCATAATTTTCTTCTTTTGGCATTTTGCTCTGTGCTTTAAGAGATTTCTTCCATGTGGTCTTCCAAGCCACTGATTAGGCTCTTGACAGTGACCACACTCTTCTTTAATTTACCCAGAAAATTTTCTCTTTTTAATTATTCCATTTTTATTTAGTTCCATAAAGCATTTTGGTGCTGTACTTGAATCTCCTTACATTCTTATTTTATTGTGTTCAATTCTTACTGGAATTATTCTTGTTTTAAGTCGTCTATCTACTCCAGCAGCTCTATTTGTTGGGTGTCAATTACATCAGTTCATCCTTTTTCCAGCTACTAGGACCTCTCAATGTTGTCCTTTCTTCTTGGGGCTCAGACCTGGGGGTTGAGAACTCTTAAGCAGGGGCAGTTTCCCAAGTGATGGAAGGAGATGGATTCACTACCTCCTTGGCACCTACTTGCTCCCCAGTCTCCTTGGTCCCTTCTAGATTTAGGAGCAGGGTTCCTGTTGAGGGCCAGAGGGATCACACACACACACACACACACACACACACACACACACACACGGGAGTGCTGCTGGCCTATCCCAGGAGGTCCATGGACCCCTGTGGGCCAGACTCTTCCTGGAACAGATGGTGTCTGATCTTCAGCCTAGAGTGCTCTTCAGCTTATCTTGGGACTCGCCACCTGGTGCATGGGGGAGACATTTCAACCCCAGATTTTCCTTTGGGGATTTCCCCAGAGATACCACTCTCATCCTTACCCAGCTGCCATTGGTCCCAGCAGACTTTTGCTGAGTAGATATGTTAGTGTAGGGGGTAAAGAGGAATTGAGAAATGTACAAGTGGCCATTTTCCTAGCAGCTACCATTTCTCTTTCTTTAGCACAGGGGCCAGCAAACTATGCCTTGGGGGGGGTCAAATGCTGAGTGTAGCCTGTTTTTGTATGGCCAGCGAGCTAGACATTGTTGTTATATTTCTAAGGGGCACTCACACACACACATATTCTGAAAAATCTAAAATATTTGTTATTCAGCCTTTTGCAGAAAAAGTTTCCTGACCTCTTTTTAGCATATTTAAATACCACTGGGGAAGAACCAGGAGAGAGGATGTCAGAGAGGTGGAAGACTCAATACAGAGAGAGGAGATATCAGTGGAGAAAGGTCCCCAAACAGGCAGGAGGGGATGAGCAAAGCATAGAGGGAAGGATTAGCCTTAAACAAGAGGAGGGACCTCTTTGCTGTTGTAGAAGAATGGAGGAGGGGACTATTGGCATTGATGAGGGAAGGAAGCAAGGGTGGGTATGGATGTGGATGTATTTGTAAAGAATATCAGGAAGTTAAGGTAGTTTCCATCAGCTGGTGTTTATTATCGCTGTGAAGTAGGAGACAAGGTCTTCTGCCTCACATAAAGGGAAAGGTGATGAGGATTGAGGAAGGAAGTGAAAAACTGTAACCTTTCATGAGGGGAAGTTGATTCAGGATAAGAAGAGCAAGTTCCAGGTAACATGGAGAGTCTTGTTTAGATCAGAAAGTATATATTTGTAATGACTCCAAGATGAGTGATTCTGGGATCTCACTGCCCTGATGGAAAAGTGGTTAAGAGATGTGGTCTGTTCATAAGGAAGGATGCTTTGGACTGCAAGTAACATTACCTGACCTGAAGTGGCTTAACAATAGGGGCTTATTTGTCTCACATAAGAGAAAGTCCTAGGTTTGGTTCAGCAGCTCAACAATGTCATAAAAGCCCAGATTATTTTCATCTTTTCACTCTTCCATCCTCAGTATTTATGTGGTACCTTCTCTCTAAGCATCATATTATTGTATAACAGCCCAAAACAGGAAGTAATGGTCAGGTTCTTCTTGAATTTGTTTTGTTTTTATCAAGGGGAAAAAGTATTTTCCAGTAGGTGTTTCTTATATCTCATTGTCTAGAATTGGTCCAAATGCACCCATCCTAAAACAGTCTCTAGCAAATAGGAATATGATCATTATGCTTAGTTTAGACTAGGGTTTCTCCACCTCAGCACTACTGACATTTGGGGATTGATAATCCTTTGTGGTGTGTATGTGGGAGCTGTCTTGTGCCTTGTAGAATGTTTAGCAGCATTCCTAGCCTTTACCACATAGATGCCAGTAGCATTCCCCGCCTTTCTCCAGTCATGACAACAAAAAATGTCTTCAGACATTGTCAGATGTCCCCAGTGGGGGGAATCACTTCTAGTTGAGAATAACTGGGCTTAAACCAATCTCAACTGGCCCCATGTGTCCAAGCATATTGCTGTCCCAAGTCAGCAAACAATGAAGGTTCTATTAATAAGGAGCATATGGTTTGGTGAAGACTGCTGAGCAGACCATCTGCAGTACTACCATTGTTGGATTGGTCCTGGATTGAGGTTTTCCCAGCTAGTTATGGAATCAGAACAAGGGAGCAATGTGTTGAAAGTATGGGAGAGAATCACTTGACATGGTTGATCATGAGATTTAGCCTGGATAAGAAAGGAGGTAAAGCTGATGGTTTGGGAGAAGCTGATGGTCTGAAGGACTGGATGAGTTTAAAGAGCAGGGTCAGGATGAGTGAGTATAAGAAAGTGAGGAAAGGCCTTGGAAGGGGCTACCTTTTTTACAAAACATCAAGGGAATATTTGCAAAGGCCATTATTTGGGCATCCAGGGACAAGCACTGGCTGAACACATGATAGTGAAGAGAAATCCAATGAAACACACATTTATTGAGAGCCCAATATGCAGAACAAACATTTCAGGGAATAAAGGCTAAACCTTTCCTCTCCAAGGATGACATTTATAATGATTTCCCTTGTCCTCAGCTTTGTTGTTCACCATGCCAACCAGATCCATGGGTGACTTTCCACGTGGAGTTGAATGTTCTAGTTTGAATATTTTCTCTTCACTTGCTCTGAAGAAACATCCCCCCACAGAAGATGTTTAGATTAAAGGTAGATGTAAGGATGAAACAAAACAAACCACTACCACCAACAAAACAGAAAGAAAGAGCGGAAGTGGATTAAAGGCAGAGAGTGTTACGGAAGTGGTAGGTTCTTTGCCTACTCAATACCATTTGCCGAACAACCAAATAACAAAACAGTATTTGATGGCAAGGAGGTGATTTATTCAATGGCCAGAGAACAGAAAAGGGGAGCTCATGTTCTAAAGGCATCTTCTCCTCGATTAGGTCATTGTTAGGGTTTTATGGGGTTAGGGTAATTAAGGGACTGGTAAGCAAGCTGACCTGGGGTGGGGTGTTTCAAGGAAGGGGGAAGAGGCTTCTAGGATTAGAGTGCCACCTCTGTTCTTCCCTTAAATGGGCACAGTGGGATCTGTCATGTTGCAGGTAGTTATGTTTTTTGTTATTATAATTAGATGGTAATGATCTTGAAGTCATCTGGAGGGTTAATATGGCATCTGAACTGGATCAAACTGGTCAAAAAGTGGGTTATTATGGCTTGTTCAGAGCTTGTTAGTAAGTCCCTAGTGGCAAGAGCTCCATCCAGCATGCAAGGATGACACAATCTAGCATTTTGGAATCCTACGTCAAGTGTGGCCTTCTGCAGCTTATATGGGAGGACTTCTCAAAAATCCCATATGAAGAATTCTTTGTTTTTTTTTTTTTGAAAAAATTTCAGACATAGTAGCCTGCTCCAGAATTTAAGTTAATTTGTGTCTATGAAGAAAGGCGAGACTCTAAGCCCCATGAAAGCAGAGACTGTGTTGGTCTTATTCCTTTTGTAGGTCCATTACCTACTACAGTACCTTGACATATTGTAGAACTCAACAAATATAGTTTTTACCACCCATATGTTACAGCTTGGTTTAAAAGCCCCAAGTCCCACAAGAAAACCAATACCTCCTATAGCAGCCCATGAGGATAGAATTTCCTGGCCTGGTTGAGGAATGAGTCATTGTATGCAGGAAGTCCAAAGCTATCATTCCCCTCCTACTATTTATGGTTCATTCACAGAACTCCCTGCCCAGTCAAACATGACTTTTTACAAACAATATTGCCTGGTTACACAACTGGCCTTTCAGTGTTAACAAGTTTCTAGGGAAGAGAGCTAGAAATTTAACCCAAGGGCAAATTTGTCCATGGAAAGTGAAGGGATTTTTTTTTTTTTTAGCTTTTTAATCATATCCTGTGCCTAGAAAAATAAAAGCTTAAGAAATTATTTTAATTAAAATTGTAAATGTTATATGCAACTAATGAATCATTGAACACTACATCAAAAACTAATGATGTACTACACAGTGGCTAACTGAACATAATAAAAACATAAAATCAGATACAAATACAAAAAAATTAAAGTGAATGTATTTCTTACAGGTAACTAATACATATAGCCCCCTTTAAAAGATATGATCATCTTATTCAACTTCCACAATGTTAAGTAATGATAATAAAATATCTCCAGTTATTGGAGTGCAGGAAACTTTGGAAATTATTTTGGATTATCTGGGAAGTCTTTCAAAGGTCACAGTTAGCAGCCAGCACCTTTTACAATTTTACTTTTTTTGGGCATGATTAAACCTAATATTCATAAAATTTTTTTCTGATCACTTGACATGCCCTAAACCTTTTTTCCTGGTCCTGTTTTCCTTTTGGTCCTTTTTGAAAGATTTAGAATGAATTCTCCTTTCTGCCCTCCAAATAGGGAGAGATGTGTTTTTAGTGACTCAATATTTCCAGTGCTGAGAATATCACATATTAGTTCAAGAAAAGTAAAAGATAATGTGTCAGAAATTTCTCAATTTTTCATTTTAAAAACAATACATTCTAAGGCTCCTTGGCTAGCAGATGTGCTGGGTGTACACATGGGAGTACACAAATGAAACTGGGAAAATTTTTATGGATTATGAGTTTGGAGCCCATCTTGCTCATCTAAGGGCATGCCTTCTTAAAGAAGTATATTCTCTAATTTCTCCAAAAAGACAAATAAAGGAAAACTATAGAGAGGTACAAGGTAGTGCATTGAGCCTGAGTTAAATCAATGGAAGAATGGGTGGATACCAGCCACTGAGTTCCACAGAGGTCTTCTTACTAACAAGACCATTTCCTTTCCCAGGCAGTTCCCATTATTCCATGTACCCCTCCCTTATAATTATGTAGAACATCTAGGGTGGAGTCCCTCTCTTTTCCATGGTATCTACTAATCGCACTGGGCTTACATTCACCTCTCCACAGGACAGCAGGATTTCAGAGGATGGTGACCACTCTGCTATGTTGGTGATTGTAAGTCTACCCCCCAAAACATTCTACTTTAGATGGTAGTGGTGCTGGTGATATGTCTTACCCCTATTCCTTTGTATGACAAGAATATATACACAAGCTAGCTTAAGCACTAACAGTGATCAGGGAAGAGTCACTGAGGAACAATATAGTGAGAATGGGAAATGCAAGCCAGGTCATCAGGAAGAGCTCTTTGCCATTCCTGCTGGGCAAGGGAGCTCATACTAAGACGGGAGAGGGGATTGGTGTGTTGGGGGGGAAGCATTAGAGTAAGTCACAAGCTCTCTTACTTCACTGGGTTTTGAGTCAGCGCCAAACTTGGTGGAAAGTGTAAAAGTCTCAGACTCAGATTTAGATTTCGTGATCTCTCCAAACCAGTTTCGGACCTGGAATATCAAAGAAAATACTGGAAAGTTTTTGTTAACAGTGGTGAAGAGAAAACCAGTGAGTCAGGAAGAGAATAAAGACATTATTAAAAAGAGTTTCCCTACAACATGTGGTATATATGTATATGGAATATTATTTATGGAGCCCTAGAAAGGAAGGAAATTCTGACACAGGCTACAACATGGATGAACGATGAAGACGTCATGCTGAGTGAAAGAAGCCAGACACAAAAGGACAAATCATGTCTGATTCCACATATATGAGATCCCTGTAAGAGTCAAATTAGTTGAGCCAGAAAGTAGAATAGTGGTTACTAGGGACTTAGCAGTGGAGAATGGCTATGTGGATAGACATGTGATAACAAATAATTACAAAGGTAATCGAAGTGATTGGCATATATGTGTTCATTGCCTAATTCTTTTAACTTTTTTGTATGCTTGAAAATGTTCATAATAACATGTTGAAAAAATTAACTTATTATGTAATGTCATCATAGAGCTATTAAAACATATTAGTATGGAGACTATACCCTCACATGGAAATATGTTTAAGAATTCAGGTGTTTAAGTGGTGTGGCAGATTGCATTATGGATTTCAATTATTCACTCCTCTGTCATAGTACACGCTCATGGTGTAATACTTAGCCTCATGATGGGTGGAGGGTTCTTTTTCCTTGACTTTGGGCTTGGGCATATGACTTTCCTTGGCCGATGGAACGTCAGTGGAAGTGAGGCAAGCAGGACCACAAGGCTTGAAATGGCCTTGCCCAGTCGGGCTTGTTTTCTTGTGATTTAGCTACTGTCATGAGAAGAACATATCCTAGGTTGCTGCCCCCTTTCTGCCAAGCCTCAGGATGAGTCACAAGGAGCAGACCTGAACATGATCTGCATCCTGGAGCCAAGCCAAGCTGAATCCAGACAAGATCAGCTGAACTTCAATCATCCTTCAGACTTGAGAATGAGAAAAGTAAATATTTGTGTTTAGGCTACTGAGATTTTTTAGGTTGTTTGTTACCCAGCAATAGCTGACTATTAAAAATGGGAAAGCTGATGAAAAACATATTTCCTTGATGTAGCAATTATTTACTTTCTGAAAGCTGTTAATAAATTGATGTATCTTACAATCAATAACATCTTAAAGTAGAGAAGATATGGATAGTGTTTACACATGGCTCACAGCTCATATGAAAATTTAGAGAACATAGATTTAAATATTCATTAATGTATATACCTCCAAATATTTATCTTTATGACAATAACAAAAGGGGTTGCTGTTTACCTGCTGGCTGAGAAGGCAATACACCAAGAAGATGAAGAAGCCCTGCAGGCTGTTGATGATGGTGAAGAGGTAAGCCATGACATGGGCAGCTGGACCCACCTGCAGGATGCCCAGGAACCATGTGCAGCCCAGGATGAAGAGCTGAGATGTCGTTTTGAGTGTCAGCATCCTGAAGGGAGTCATACACAATGATGTGAAAAAGCTAATAATGGACATGGACACCCTATTGTGTGGTTATTAATGGTGAGGACTCTGGAGCTACTCTGGCTGGGTTTAAACCCAAGGCAGAACTAATTGGCTTATGACCTTGGACAAGTTACTTTACCTTTCAATAACTCAGTTCCCTCATCTTTATAATAACCCTGTTTCACACAGTTGCTGCCAAGATTAAATGGGACTTTAACATATGTAAAGTATTTAGGAAAGTATGTAAAACAAAATTAGTACATATATAAAGCATTCTAAAACTGGGTGCTCTTTATCTCTCTCATTATATCATTTATAGATGAAGTGTCATATAATTTATTATCCAGACAGGGAGGCTTTTGAGGCAGATGTGGTGCTAATTAACAATTACAGTGGGTCAACAGGCATAACTGGGACCATCCCAGGCAAACTAGGATGTAAGGTCACCTTACATATGTATCTATATATCCCTAATTAGAAAATATAGTAATACATAAGTGAGAAAAGCTAGTTGGGGAACAATTTGCATAGTGTGATGTTACTGGGTGCATGCCTGTCTGTTCTACAGAACATGCACAGCCCAGAAAAAGGTCTGGGGAAAATATTATACATATCGTACACTTTGTTACCTCTGGCTTCCCTGAGAAGTGGAAGGAGAAAAGAAAGGGAGGAGTTAGCTGCTTTCAGATTTTACTTTATATATTTTAAAAACTTTTGAAAAATTTTTCAACAAATGCACTATTTTTGTGATTACAATGAAATCAACAACAAATTACATGTTCACATAAAATGGATGCTGCAAGATGAAAAAAGTCCTCATCATCCAAAATGTTGTGAAATAATATCATACAAAATATATTTTAATAGAAATCCTTCCCAAACCTATTGCATCTGTGTTATGTGGCAGAAATTGCTGTTTTTTCCCCCCCCATTCTCCTCTTCTTCATTTTAGTGCTGGATCCTTCCTTTTTTGAGTTTTATCAAGGACACATGGCTACCCAGTTAGGACTACATTTCCCGGCCTGCCTTGAAGGTAGGTGTCACTGTGTGATCAAGGTCTAGCCCTTGAGATATGGGCAAATGTGGAACATGCAGCTTCTTCCCATGGATGGGATACTGGCAAGGAAACATCTGGGGAATATGGAGCAACAAACTAGAAAGGACTCGGGTCTCTGGATTCCTTTGTGGAGCTGAGCTTCCCCACTAGCCTTGGACTGCTCACCTTTGGACTGTGACATGCGAATGAAATAAACTTCTATTTCACTCCTTTCTTAGGGTCTTTTTGTCACTGAAGCTTAGCCCATACTACAGCTAATACAAGCTCTCATTAACTATGACACTGGGTTTGCTAGCTCCTGGAACTTGTTTGTGGGGTGTATGTGTGTGTGGATGTGTAGGAGGCACCAATGGGGCATAAGTAGAGAAAAGAGGGGGTCAGAAAATACCATTTACCCCACTTTACCTTATATTCTGGATGGTTGACACTTCACTGTTGAGAGAGGAAAGTTTCCTTTTCAAAATCCAAAGGACCAGGAGAAAAAGAACTAAATTCACCTGCAGGAATGACACAGATCATGCAGAACGCAAGTTAAAATAATGCACCGTGTCCGCTGTAAATTGCACACAATTCCCACCTCCTGCACGTGGGATTGAATTGGTAGCAGGTGGAAAAATCAATTCATACAGCTGAGAAAATGTATGCCCCTTATGCTGTCTTGCATCCAGCATGCCCGGTGCTTCTTCTTCGGTCGGGAACCCTGGAGCCACATACTCACACAGATGATGGCACAGACGGGGCCAAGGAAACTCCAGATGAATCCCTGGTCCAGGTTGAGCCAGCAGCTGGGAACAATGGGAAAAGGGGCACAAAGAGAGATCAGAGAAAGCGCACGAAATGAACACTTTTCCCAATGCTTTGCCAACATCTCCTGAAAATGTCAGTGGATGACAATGAAGGCTTTGATTGTTCACTACCATGTGTTAATGCTACACTAAACATTTTACAAGCACAGTCCTGCTGAAGTTTTAGACCAGCATCATGAGGGTGGGAGCATAGGGACAACTGTTATCCCTGTTTCACTAATGGGGGCACTGAGACTTGAGGACTCGAGGTCCCAAATTATGGGAAGGATGAAACTCGGACCTAACCACAAAATGCCTTCTTTCCAGAACCTTCCACACTCTTTTTTTTTTTTTTAAGATTTTATTTATTTATTTGAGAGCGAGAGAGAGAACATGAGCAGGGGGAGGGGCAGAGGGAGAGGAAGAAACAGACTCCCCGCTGAGCAGGGACCCCCCCCCCCCCGCCGACATGGGACTCGATCCCAGGACCCTGGGATCATGACCTGAGCTGAAGGCAGATGCTTAACAGACTGAGCCACACAAGCACCCCAAACCTTCCACACTTTTACTGTCATCTTTCTCGCCTCACCGGGAAAGAGGTTAGAGCTGTTACAGCCGAGGGGAAAGGAGAGTGGTTTCAACGTGGATATCCCAATCATCATCGTTAACACTGCCCTTAAAACTGTCCACAGCATAGAATGAGACTTGAGCTCACCGATCAGGTGTTCCATAAAGGTCAGACTTGATCACAGCAGAAATGGCCACAATTATAGCTGGGACTCCATAGCCCACTGGGAACATGAGCTTCTTCATGAACTTGCTCACACTGGAGTAGTTGACCACCGTCAGGTTGCGTGCAGTGAGGAAGAGATTCAGACCCTCCAGCAGCATCCAGGTGAAGGACGCCAGGTAGAGATAGTGTAGGGCACCCGCAATGATGGTGCACAGCACCTGGGGGAGGAGAAAGTTGTCACCAGGAGGGACTATCAGGGAGGAGGGTGACCCCAGGACCTTTCCCATACTTTGCCATTGAAGAGAACTCTCATGTATATGGTCGAGTTGTCAGGAGAGGGTTTGTCTCCTAATGTCTTCCATTCATTAGTCAATGTGAAATAGGCTACCTACCCCTCCAACCTCCCTGGACCCGAGGCCATTTCATTAAGGTATCAGTGCAGCATGGCTCCATGAACTGAGCACCCCTGGGACAGGGCAGGGGCTCCTCTGTGAAAATGTCAGTACCTTGATCTCAGTCCGGTTGATGGCCGTGAGGAAGAGCAACTGGGCCAGGAAGAGGCAGATTGAGAGCTGCAGGTGGATCGAGGTGCTGGTGTTCTGGATGGCTTTGCACAGCAGGAGGGTGAGGGCTGCCAGGAAGAGGCACAGCAGAGAGATGCTCAGCCCCACACAGGTGATCACAACCAGCATGGGATCCTCCTCCTGGGACCCAGCAAAGAGGACATCATGGTCAGTCTCCAGGATTAATCCCCCTCCCCCTTGGAATGGGGCATCCCAAACATAGGCATGACTCCAGATGACAGAGAGTGTAAGAAGTATCTGTCAGACTAAGTCTTTTTCCCCCAGCTTTATTGAGGGATACCTAATAACAAAATAATATGCTAATTGAATGCACACATTTTGATGAGTTTGGACATAAGCACATATCTATGATGCCATCACCACAATCAAGGTAATAAACGTATCCATCACCTCCAAGATCTTGTGTCTCTTTGCTTTTTTCTTTCTGTGATAAGAAACAACATGAGATCTACTCTCTTAATAAGTTTTTAAGTCCACAATTCTGTATTAACTATGGGCTCTATGTTGTATAGCAGACTCACCTTGAAATCAATGAATATGCTAGGCTAAGTCTTGCACCCAAGAGCTGCAGGAAGCCCCGTGTAGCGGAGGCTATTAATCTCTTCACACTCATTGGTATCTGCCCTTTGGCTGCTTTCTGTGAAATCCAGTGACCCTACCTGAGAGTATTTCTCCTGACACACGAACATGCTTGGACGTGCCAGAAGGAGTCACAAATACCAGGATGTTAATGCCCCTTGAAAGCTTCCCTCAAGCAATAAAAGTAATGGCATTGGTGGATAAATACCTCAGCTCCCTCACCTTTATGTGGGAAGGCTCTGAGATGCATGTTCTGTGATATCTCCCAGAAGTAACCAATGGGATTGAGTCCCAGTTGTCCATGGGGGTAACTTTCTCTTTAACACATCCTTTACTGGCTGCCTACTCTTCTCTGTCTTACTTCCTTATTGTCCTACTGATGTGTCTTGGGGTCACCTCCCAGAGAAACTACTCGCCTTCAAATTTTTGTCTCAGGATCTGCCTTTAGGAGATCCCAAACTAAGACATCTGTATAATTCAGCTCTTGGAGACTCATCTCCTTAAAGACAGGAGCCAGGAATCTGGTGAGCCACGCAGACTGATAAGACTCACAAGTAGGAAATGATAGTTGCCATCCCTTATAAGGATATGCAGATTTTCACTTGTTTCAATATCACTTTATAGAACTTTTTAATCCTTTGCTTTTTTAACCTTAAAAAATTGTGAAATATAACACACATACAGAAAAGAGCATACACATAAATGTATCACATGATTAAAAATTATTAAATGATTTGTAAGATCATTAGTTTGTAGACATTACCCCAGAAGCTCTTTCCAATTGCAAACCACCTTTTTCCTCAGAGGTAACCAGGATCCTTTTATGATAAGCAGTTCCTGCCTATCTTTATAGTTTCACCACTGAAGTATGCAACCCCTGAGAATATGGCTTAGTTGTGTCTGTTTCTAAACTTTGTACAGATGGAAATATACTCTGCTCCACACAGTCACTCAGAAACCCATGATAACAGAGGCTTCACAATCTGGTAGCTACACCATCTGGAGAATGTTGCTTTCTTGTCACCCTGGGGGGTCCCACATGGGATTTTCTAAGCCTCATCCCAGAAAAGTAGCCTTGCTTTCTTTTTTCCTTTCAAATTTTTAATCAAATTCTAGTTAGTTGACGTACTGTATAATATTGGTGTTAGGAGTAGAATTCAGTGATTCATCACTTACATACAACACCCAGTGCTCATCATAACAAGTGCACTCCTTAATACCCATCCCCCATCTAGCTGATCCCCATCCACCTGTAGCATTGCTTTTAATAGCCCCCAGTGGGGAAACAACCTAGATGCACATTAACTGTAGAACGGGTAAGTAAATTGTAGTACAGCTCTGCAAGGGAACATCATACAGCAATCCTGTGTCCATTAAACACTTACCCCCATTTCTTCTTCCCCCAGTCCCTGGCAACCAGTAATCTACTTTCTGACTCTCTGGGTTTGCTTATTCTGGACATTTCATATAAGTGGAACCATACAACAGGTAGCCCTTTGTGTCTGACGTCTTTCACTCAGCGCGATGTTTTCGAGGCTCACCCATGTCGCAGTACCACTGACTCAGTATTCAGATTGCAGTTCAAATGCTTAATTCTTACAGAGGCCACCCTGACCTTTCTATGGAAAGCAGCATGCTTTCTGCAATCCCTCACTCTAGTCCCTTGTGTTCCCCCCCTTTTTTATTTTTTTATTTTATTTTTTTAAAGATTTTATTTATTTGAGACAGAGAGAATGAGAGAGAGCGAGCACATGAGAGGGGGGAGGGTCAGAGGGAGAAGCAGCCTCCCTCTCCCCCCCGAGCAGGGAGCCCGATGCAGGACTCGATCCAGGGACTCCAGGATCATGACCTGAGCCGAAGGCAGACGCTTAACCGACTGAGCCAACCAGGTGCCCCCATTCATTTATTTAATTTAATTTAATTTTTTTAAAGATTTTACTTATTTATTTGAGAGAGAGAGCACATGAGAGGGGGGAGGGTCAGAGGGAGAAGCAGACTCCCTGCCGAGCAGGGAGCCTGATGCGGGACTCGATCCCGGGACTCCAGGATCATGACCTGAGCCGAAAGCAGTCGCTTAACCAACTGAGCCACCCAGGTGCACCTCCCCCCCCTTTTTAAAAGGGTACTTATCCAGCAGGAGCTCACACAGGATTAGCCGGACGAATTAAATGTATACATTGTACCTGGCTGGTTAAGGCCATGAGGACAGCAAAACTGGACAGGTGGGTGGAGTTGCATATGGTGTGACTTTTGTTCGCTTGGATCAGGAAACAGCCGTCCCTGGACCACTGGCCGTGGCCCCCCGTGCTCTTCCAGTACACGCAGAAGGCCTTTCCTTTATTGGGCTTCCTCTGAAAGTAGAAAGGGCTCATCATGTTCTTCCTTGGGAGGGACAACTCTCAGAATGTCCGTCTACACTGGGGTGGCAAGTGAGGAGATACGCGGCTTAGAAGTGACTCAGGTGATTTCTATTTCAAGTGAAGAGAATGGGTGCCAGGACACCTGCTCCTGTAGTCCCAGCTCTGTTGGGGTTCCACATACCATAAAACAAGATCAAGGCCCTCTGGGAGCCAGAATTTTACAGGATGTCACTGGTTTCAGGCTTTTATCCCCCACCATGGAAGTCAGACAAAAACAAAACAAAACAAAACAAAACAGTAAATAAATAAAAAAGTCTGTGGCTCGTACAGAGTTTTTTCCTAAACACTCTCTAAGACAAATTTCCCTGATTTCTTCACACCAATTCTGTCCCTGACCCCTTACAACACAAAAATTGCTCACGCAACGAGAGGGGAAGTTTAGGGAAGAAATGAAGAGGGAGAGAATAGAATTAGCCTTCAACCTCTTCTTTTTGTCCCAAGGGTTTCCAGAGCATCACTTCATGGGGCCAAGAAGATGAGTCACACATTCTCCCGTTGGGGGGCTGTATCTCCTTTGATAATCCACTAGACCATCTCCAGATTTCTTGCTCCACTCCCACTGCCCCATGCCATATATGAAAAATTTCATACTTAGGTTTTATGCATCCGATAGAGAAATCCTACATTTCCTACTCCCCCATTCTTATTTTGTTTAAAATTAAAATATAATTTTATCTAGTTTTTCCAGCTTTATTGAGATAAGACTGACATATAAATTATGTAAGTGTAAGGTATATAACATAAGTTTTTGACATATACATATATTGCAAAATGAAGTTAGTTAATATCCATCACCTCATGTAGTTACAATTTTTATTTTGTGGCGACAACTTAAAATCTACTCTCTCAGCAACTTTCAGGTATGCAATATATTATTCTTAACTAGAGGTATCATGCTCTAGTTAATTAAATCCCTGAACTTATTCTACTTGTAACTGGAAGTTTGTACCTTTGACCTTCTGCACTTTTTGTCTCCCATCCCCCCCCCCAGGTAACCAAAAATACCTGTGTCTATGAGTTTGGCTTTTTGAAATTCTACATATAAGTAAGACCATACAGTATCTGTCTTTCTCTGTCTGACTTATTTCACTTAGCATAATACCCTCAAGATTCATCCATGTTGTTGCAAATGGCAGGATTTCTTTCAACTCTTACTTTCATGACAAAGCTGAAAGGCAAGGGAACAGATGAATTTTATTACATCTGGGTCTGGCTACTGATCTTCCTGTCTTTAAGAGTTTGGGCAGAGAAGGGGAAAAGGGAACGAATTAAATAAAATTTTTTTTCCGATCAAGTTATGTAGCCTAATAATTAATACCAGGCTTTCATGTGGGAATGAATAACATGTCTCAGTTCAAATTTCACAGAATAAAATTGGAGGTACCTCCAACTAAAATAATCCCATGCACTAGAATCATGCTGCCCAAGAGAAATATCATGTGAACTACTTGTGTAATTTGAAATTTTCGGCTAGCCATATTAAAAAAGCTAAAGAAACATTTCAAATTAATTTTAATAATACATTTTATTTAACCCACTATATTCAAAACAGTATCTTTTAGTACGTCAATATAAATCAATATATGCAATCAATATAAATATTATTTTTCTTAAAAATATTTTATTTATTTTTTCAAAGATTTTATTTATTTATTTGAGAGAGAGAGAGAGCATGAGCAGGGGGGAAGGGACAGAGGTAGAGGGAGAAGCAGACTCCCTGCTGAACAGGGAGCCTGACATGGGGCTCAATTCCAGGACCCCGAGATCATGACCTGAGCCGAAGGCAGATGCTTAACCGACTGAGCCACACAGGTGCCCCTTAAAAAGTTATTAATGAGATATTTTGCATGCTTTTTTTCTTATGAGGGCTTCGAAATCTGGAACTACCAAGTCTAAATCCAGAAATACTAAGTCTTCAAATTCTCAATTCAGATGCACCAAGTTTCAAATGCTCAATGGCTACACGAGGCTCCTGGCTAAGGTATTGATTGGACAGCACAGCCCAGAGGCACTGACTGGCGAGGGTATACGTACATTGTTCACTCTACCTCGAGAAACCTAAGCAAGTTCAAATGCAGCTCTGACCCACCTTCACATGCTGAAAACTCAGAGTCACAGACTTGGAGAGAGATATGTTCCTTTGGGGTCCAATAGCAGCACTCACTACCTGGGAGTTCAGGTAAACTCGGTCTTTCTCATTTGCCTCTTCAAAAAATGTTGCGTTTATGAGGGTTCCAAGAGAAGAATAAGAAATAAAGGCAATTGCCGTGGGACCTGAGAAAACAGAAAAAGGGGGGGTCTTTAAAAGTGCCATCATTCCTGGGGTGCCTGGGTGGCTCAGTCGGTTAAGCAACTGCCTTCGGCTCAGGTCATGATCCTGGAGTCCCGGGATGAGTCCCGCATCGCATCGGGCTCCCTGCTCGGCAGGGGGTCTGCTTCTCCCTCTGCCCTCTTCCCTCTCGTGCTCTCTGTCTCTCATTCTCTCTCTCTCAAAAAAAAAAAAAAAAAGTGCCATCATTCCTTTCCCACACCTACCATGCTCGCACACATGATGTATACACAAGTATACATACGCATGCATAGTCACCTATATGAGGGTCAAATGAAATAGAGATTCTCACAGTCTCTCCCTTTCTCACCTCTGAGACTGACAGTGTGTTTGTGGTCTTGAACCCTTTTTTGTATTGAAGGGGGTAAAACCTGGGGGGGAAGAGAAGAACTGGACAAACAAAGAGAGGTTACGCTGATTTGCATCAGAAAGGACATGGCTGTAGCCTTAGGAGAAAATGCATCAAATAAGATGGGAGGAGGGCAAAGAAGAGGCAGATGGAATTTCGAGGGAGGAGGAGAGGAGCCAGAAGGGTCAGGCTTGAAGAGAAAGCTTAGGGAGTTAGGTAAGTTTTCCGTGATGTCATTCCGCTTCCTGAAGAGACTTCTGGAAAGGCTGATTTATTTTTCAAGACTTTTAGAATTGGTTTTGCATTCCTTTCAAATGAAGCATAATGTTGAGACTGGACTTAAAGAAATCCATTAACAGGTGGGTTACATGTATGGCTATCTCTTTGTATGTACGTATGAATGTGATCATCTTCTCCCATATATTATATATGTAAACCAGATCTAAAAAAAATAATGTGTATAGAAATTTAGGCCACTACCCCTATCTATCTATTCATTTATTCAACTTTTTTTTTTTTTTTGATGGAATGCCTACTAGGGTCCAGACACTATTCTGGGGATACAGTGGGGGGCAAAGAAACCATTTCTGCTCTTACAGATCTTTCTGATGCAGGAGAGAGACAAACAAATATAAACAAATCAGTAAAAGTGTATGTCAGGAAATGATCGGTCCTAGGGAGAAAATTAAGTGAGGTAAGGGAGGACAGAGAGACTTGGAGGATGCTATTTCAGACAGATTTCAGACAGCAGTGTGAAGGGAGGGGGGGCCACATGGCCACATAGAAGAATGTTCTAGGTAGATCTAATATAACAGGGACAAAGTCCTGAGACTTGAACGTGCCCAGCTGGTTCAGGGAACAGGGAGGAGGCCAGTGTGGCTGAAGAAGTGTGTGTGTGCAAGAGTGGGAGAAGGTGAGGGCAGGGATGTGATGGGGGCAGATCCTGCAGGGCTTTATGAATCTTGAGGAGGACTTTTGCTTTTATTTTAAGGGAGTTTAAGCAAAGGAAAGCCATAATTTAACATACTTTATTTTTTTTTTATTTGGGGGGGGTGGGCAGAAGGAGAGAGGCAATCTTAAGCAGGCTCCACAACCAGTTCAGAGCCTGACACAGGGCTCTATTTCATGACCCCAAGATCCTGACCTGAGTCAAAATCAAGAGTCGGACACTCACTCAACCGACTGAGTTGCCCAGGTGACCCAATTTAACATACTTTTTTTTTTAGACCATTTTTTTGTTGTTGTTAACATACTTTAATAGACTAAATATATGTGTACAGGTTATATTTATATCATGTATTTATAATTCTATTATATATTAGAAGGACATACACATGACATATATCAGTAGGATAGTGTTATGCACCAAATTGTGTCCCCCCCCCCCCCAAATTAAGTTGAAGTCTGAACCCATAGTACTTGAGAATGTGACTGTGTTTGAAGACAGGGCCTTTATAAAGATAGGGCCAGAGGAGAGAGGGCCTGACTTTGGTGCTGTGATGGAAGTGGGCAGTCCTGGGAGGCCTCATGGAGGAGGTGAAAGCTGACCTGGATTGAAGAGTAAAGAAGAAGAAATCTGCACGCACAAAGAGAGACCAGGGATGTACACTCAGAAAAAAAAACATGTGAAGACACAGGGAGAAGGTGGCCATCTGCCAGAGAGAGAGATCTCGGAAGATACCAACCCTGCCAATGCCTTGATCTCAGACTGCTAGCCTCCAGAACTGTGAGAAAATAAATTTCTCTTGTTTATATATATATAATATATAATATACACATATAACATATACATATATATGTGTTATATATGTTAGTTACTAACATATATATATAAACAAACATATATATTTGTAGTTAGTTTGAATATGGTGGGTTATAGGATTATAGGATGTTATGACCATATTCCGATGTCAATAAGTTTTCTTTATTCTTTGTAGCCGCCAAGAAGTCCACACTGCCGAGGCCATATATATGAAGCAGTTAGGATTGTAGAGACAGGAAATAGGTTAATAGGTTTCTGGATTAAAATCCCAGCTTTGTCATTTACTAGCTATGCAGCGCATCCTATTGGAATAAATTCCTCCTAGGTTTCTCTAATCAGGCTTCTCTGGTCCTGCCTGGGGAATCAGAAGCAATTCATTGCTGTTTCTCCGAATTAATGACAGTTTCCATTTGTCAGAATGAAACAGTGGTAGGTGGTTGGAAAAGATGGGCAGGTGATATGTCCATCTGTTCTTGTGCTTAGTAATAGCTTATTTTTGGGCTGAAGTATTCTGGTTAGGAGCAAAAGCACAAGCAGAAAAGAGAAGGGTGGCTGTAGGTGTTCACGGTCAGCTTCCGGTGGCCTGGGTTTTGTTCTTTGAGATGTTTTACAGGGAGGGGGTGTCATGGGATTGTATGTCTCGTGTTACCTCTGATGGGTGTCTGGGTGTAATTCGATAGCACCTCCTTTCAGTCTTAAAGTTGTTACTGTTTGAAGGTCAATTATAAGGTCGCTCTCCACGAGCAGTTCTCAATTGGGGGTGGGGGGGTGATTCTGCCCCCTCTGGGGACATTGGGCAATGTCTGGACGCATTTTTGGTTGCCACACTGGGTGTTTGTTTCTGGTGTCTAGTGAATAAAGGCCAGAGGTGCTGCTCATCATCCTACAGGGCACAGGGTGACCCCCATGACAAAGAAGGCTCCTGCCCTAGACAGGACGTGAAGGACAGAGAAATGTCCCTCTGGGAGCTTGTCACACATCGGTCAATGGGTTCTTTTCTCTCCTTAGGAACATTGAGACCTCCACCTAAACGTGGATTTAATTCAGAGAACATTCATCACTGTTCTCTATGTAATGAGCCTGTAATGGTGACTCTAGAGAAAAATAATTCATGATTGCCATCCTTATGGGGATTCCAGCATGGTGGGGGAGACAAGGACATGGCAATCTAGATACAACACAACATGTTAGATGCCAGGATAAGGCAAGTTCAAGAGGCTGGGGGTAGTGCAGAGGAGGGAGGGCCTGACTTTGGTGTTGTGGTGGAAGTGGGCAGTCCTGGGAGGCTTCATGGAGGAGGTGAAAGCTGAACCATGTTGAAGAGTAATAGTTCACCCAGTGGCCTGGTGGTTGGCGTTCCTGGTAGAGGAGCAGCCAATGGAAATGCTCGGAGGTGAGACTATAGGGCCCACTGGGGGAGGGTAAATAGTCCTCCACTGGGCACTTTTATGCCAGGTGCCCCTTCAGGCACATGTAATCACATTACGATGTCTGTGACTTACTTAAACAATTCAGCAGAGGACGTTCTTATGAGCTGAGTTGTGTCCTCTTTGATTTCACATGTGAAATCCTAATCCCCAGTATCCCAGAATGTGATCGGAGAACATGTGGGGCTGCAGATGTGCTTTGTTTGGCTCGCACTGTGAAGTCTTGCACACTCTCTACAAATTGTGAGTTTTAGAAGAAACTCCTGGTGACAAGGCAAGCATGAACTTGTGTGGTTGGAGGTTGGCTTCCATCCTCCACCTGGCCCATTCTCAAACGAGGCAGATTCAAGTTCTTATCTTCTTGGGGGAGGAGAGGAAGTGATAGGAACTAATTGTCTCACGACACTTCCTCAGTTCAGCATGTGGTTAGTTGTCCACATTTTGATGCCTTTACTCGGGGCCTTTCACTGATAGTACAGACCAGCTGTATCCCACGTTTATAGGATTGGATTTAAGACCCCATTTGTCATGCTATAGCAGTTATAATGGTAAGGCAGCTATTGTAAGACCAAATTTAAAAATTGAAGGTATTCATGCAACCAACCCAATTTCTCTTGAAAAATCAGAAAGTCTGGCAACACCGGGACAATTAATAGTAACAATCCGTTCCTTCATACACAGGCTGTAGCAAATGCTGTAGGCACCCTAACTTAATTTGCTTGGCACTCTTGGGTTCCTTACATGCCGATGAATTCTCCTGCAAGCAACTGCAACTCTCTGCCTGGGAGCATTCCCTGCAGTGAATGTGTTGGATTGGTACACAGGGCAGAATGGCAGGGCCCTCAACCACTGATGGATCAGAGCAGCTCTCCCTCGAATGGGAGAGCTCAGTGGGATGAGTCACATTTACCACCAGCAGTGACCTACTCACTACCATAATAATACCTGTATTGGCTGTCTCCTCTTCCCTGTCTCATTTCTTTTCTCCCCTACTGGGATGGTTAATTTTATGTGTCAATGTGGCTAGGCCATACTACCCAGATATTGGGTCAAACATGAGTCAGGGTGTCTCTGTAAAGGCATTTTTTAAGACGAGAGTAACATTTAAATCAATAGACTTTGAGTAAAGCAGATTACCCTCCACCATGTGGTTGGGCCTCCTCCAATCAGCTGAAGGCCTTAAGAAAAAGACTCTCTTCTCCCAAATAAGAGGGAATTCTGCCTATAGCCTGTCTTTGTCTACAGTACAACATCAACTCTTCCCTGGGTCTCCAACCTGCTGGCTAGATTTTAGACTTGCTACCATCCACAATCACAGGAGCTAATTTCTTAAAATCTCTGTCTCTGTTTCTCTCTCTCTTTATCCCCCTGCCCCCTACACCATATTGATTCTGTTTCTCTGGGAAACCCTGACTAATACACCGACTGATGCTTCCTGGAATCACCTCCCAAATAAACTTACACTTTTCTCGGGGACTGCGTTTGGGTGAACGTCACCTGAGACCAGGACAGAACTCCCCCCAAATTGCAGAGAAGTGTCTTCCATGCTGAAGAATAGAAAGCCTTCACTTTGGGAAGATTTTTTAAGGAAAAGACTCAATTGACACAGTCTTAGGGTAACAAACTCATTAGGAAGGAGCCTGTTGGCGACTCTCCTTGTAACTCATACAATGATACTGATCTGTGTGTCTTAGAGGTTCTGAATACAGCCACCGTATGTACCTTGTATGTCTTCCTGCACAATGTCATTGCAGTGGATGTCCACTGAGTTCATGTGGGCGTTCAAGCTGAAGATCTTTCCTTCTTCAGAGCAATTGTCTGTAACAACTCGAGTTTCAATAGCTGGTGAGAAAAGCAACAATCAAGTTTGCCATTATTATAAGCTTTAAAAATGTGCATAGCAACATGGACAGGTTACATTTACTGAATGTCTAGGATGTTCCAGGCTGTACCTTGTCAAATAACCCCATGAGGGACCCTTATCCAAACGAGGTAAGACCCTAACTCCTGAAACAAGTTCTTAACTAAAGTTCTCTAGCACTCATCTTTTTTTTAAAAAAAGACTTTATTTATTTACTTATTGAGAGAGAGAGTATGAGCAGGGGGAGGGGCAGGGGCGGGGAGAGAATCTTAAGCAGGCTCCATGCTTGGCGTGGAGCCTGATACGGCGCTCGATCTCACGACCCTGAGAACATGGCCTGAACCGAAGTCAAGAGTGGTAGCGCCCCCTCTAGCAGTCATCTTTGAGGCAACAATTCTGTTTCTAGGAATTAATTCTCAGAAAACAATCATGGACGGGCGGGTAGATTTAGCTACAAGAAAGTTTTCAGCAGCAGAGATGATAGTGTGAAAAATAGGAAATTATCTAAATGTTCAACAAGGAGGAATTGATTTAATAATTGACAGCTTATCTCTGTAACAGGGAACCATGCTTCCAATGAAAATGAAGTCACAGGAGAATTGCCATCAAGAAACAAGCTCATGAAAATATTTAACTTAAATATTAGCAGACGGCTGGAGGCTGGCTGTGAGTTTGAAAGTGTTGAAACTGGGTGATGGGTACAGTCGGGTTCCTGCTGTGTCTGCCCATTCACAGATGAGGGAAGTGAAACCCAGTGAGGTGAGGGCAATGGTCTGCCCCATCAGTTAGGACCTGGCCAGATCAGGAAAGATGAGAGCTATTGTAATCTGAAAAATGGTTTAATTTTGAATGAAATGAATGAATGAATGAATGAATGAATGAATGAATGAAATGAATGAATACATCCTGATTCCAGTTTCCTAAGAAGGTTAGGCATGGGATTTTATTTTATTTATTTAAAAATTTATAAAAATTTATTATTATTTTTATAGAGTGTAAACTATCTCATCATACAAATTGGTAAAGCAAAATGATTAGTTAGGCACACACCAATCCATTGATATCCCTGGGCTGAATAAAAGCACAGCAAACAGCATTTCTGAAGGCCAATATAGTGATATGTATCAAAGTCTATAAAATGTTTCTTTTCTCCTTGACCTAATGATTCTTCCTCTATGAATTTATCCTAAGAAAATATCAAAAAAATATACACAGATAAATTTTCAATGGTCTGTTCACGGGGTTATTTGGCAACAACCCACATTTCCCAGAATAGGGAAATAAATACAGTATAAATAAATTATATACAATGCAATTTGATAAACCATTGAAGACAATAATGTAGGGAATGATGATGTATATAATTTACACGGAGAGAGGTTGGTGATGTAATAAGTGAAAATTGTATGTACAACGTCACATACACAGCAAATATGCATCTGCATCAGACATGCATCTACATGGTTATAGGATAGGAAGATTGGGTTGTGGGCAGATTTGGCTGTTCTAAATTTAGTTTTGTCTATGTGTTTTTTTCTTTTTTTTTTAAATTTAATACTTGGCTTTGCTATGATATCTTATTTATTTATTTTTATTTTTTAAAATAGCGAAATGATTACGAAGATCAAACTATTTACCATAGTCTCTCGTCACGTGGTTACGTTATGAATATGTATGACAAGTATGATAGAAGTATTTTTATTCAAAAGATATGCAGTAAGATGTTCCTTCTGGGATGGAACTGTGATATGTGCCAGTAGGTATTAGGCTTCGGATTAAACAACAACCACAACAACAAAAACCCAAAAAACTACTTTGAAGCCAAAATCCCAGACTCAGGACTGGAAACGATTGGCAATCTTTTCTTTCTTTCTTTTTGTTTTTAGAAGATTTTATTTATTTATTTGAGAGAGAGAGAGAGAGAGAGCGAGTGAGTGAGAGAGCAGAGAGAGCACGAGCAGGGGAGAGACTGACACAGGACTCGATCTCAGGACCCCAAGATCTTGACCTGAGCTGAAAGCAGCCGCTTAACCAACCAAGCCACCCAGGTACCCCCTTTCTTTCTTTTTTTTTAACAGGTCTATGGAGCTGTGATTAATGTGTAATAAATTGCACATAATAGAGTGTACAATTTGATGAGTTTTACTGAGTGTATATACCTGTGTATATACTATATTCCTGTGAAACCAACCCCATAATCAAGGTACTGAACATGTCATACCCAACAGTCTCCTCAAATTTTCTCCCTCCTCCCCCCTCCACCCATCACTATAGGTTAACTTGCATTTTCTAGAAGTCTGTATAAGTGGACCCAGGCAGGGTATTTATTTTTCTAATTGTGTAACCCAGACTCCAGCTTATAATGAACCCCCTGTGTGCATCAGGCCATATCCTCTTCTTACCCACAGTACTGTTGTGGATTTTCTGGATTTTTTGCTCCGGGGATTTCAAGGCAGTTTCTAGAGCATTTGATTCCACTTGCTGGAGAACATTTGTGGCCCAAGATGCGACTTTGCTCTTCTCTCCCGTTCCCGGTAGAGTGTTATTAGCGAGAAGTGACTCGAATATCTCAACAACATGTTGCAGCTTTGAAGATACAAAGAATAAGAATACAAATCCAATCTGATAGATCCCACACCCTGAGGGAAAGTAGAAAGCACAAGAAAGCAGCTTCTGGATCCAGAGGACCCGGTTTCAATCCTGATCCACCATTGAAAGGCTGTGTGAACTTGGAAAAATCACCCAATTTCTCTGTGCCTCAGTTTCCCCATATTAGGATAGGGACAATAAAAGGACCCCATAGAGTATTTGGAATTATTAAATGAATTAAGAGATGCTACCTTTTTAGAACAGTGTCTGTGCCTGGTACACACTAGATGAGGGTTGGTTATTATGAACATCTTTTACCAACAGGGAAGTGGTAAGGTTGCCAGAAATAGACCAGTGGTTCTCCATTAGGGCGATTTTGACTCCTCGGGGACATTTGGTAATGTCTGGAGACATCCCCCGCACTGAGGGATGCTACTGGTATCTAGTGGGTGGCGGCCAGGGATGCTGCTCAACAACTTATAATGCACAGGGCCGTGCCTCCCCTGCCCTCTCCGGAAAGTGACCCAAGCTCAAGTGTCAGTGGAGCCAAAGCTGAGAAAATGAGAAGTAGAGTTATAGCTCAGACATTCTAACTGGCCTTTTTAAGTCAAGAAATTTATCTAAGAGGTAAAGCAAAGTGATGAACCAGAGGGGAGAAGAATGGAGAGCCAAGGTGAAGTTTTATAAATATAGGCATAATCTAATTGTAATATAGGTGATTTGAAAGAAGATTTTTATGCGAACCCCCACATCCTTGTACTTAAAGTGTGGTCTTTGTAGTGGCAGCATGAGCATCACCTGGCCGCCCATTTGGAATGCAGCCTCTTGGGGGACTGAGTCCAAATCTGCACTTTAACAAGATCCTGAGGGGATTTGTGGGCACAGACACACTTCAGAGGTACTGTAGGTTTGGTTCCAGACTCCCGCAATAAAGTGAATATCGCGGTAAAGCTATTCAAATAAAGTTTTTGGTTTCCCAGAACATATAAAAGTTTTGTTTACACTATACTGTAGTCTTTTAAGTGTGCAACAACATTCTGTCTAAAAAATGTACAAACCTTACATTACCTGGTGCTCATCACGACAGGTGCACTCCTTAATCCCCATCACCTATTTCACCCATGAGCTCCAGGTAATGTGTGGGAGTGTTGAGTCACTATATTGTATACCTAAAACTAATATAACACTGTATGTTAACTAACTGGACTTAAAATAAAAACTTAAAAAAAGCCAATTAATCAATCAATGAATAAAAATAAGCAATGTGCAAACCTTAACTAAAAACACTTTATTGCTAAGAAATGCTAATGCTCACCTGAGCTTTCAGCGAGTTGAAATCACTGATCACAGATCACCACAACCAATATGATAATAATGAAAAAGTTTGAAATACCGTGAGAATTATCAGAATGTGCCACAGAGACATGAAGTGAGCAAACACTGTTGGAAAAATGTCACCAATAGACTTGTTCCATGTGGGGTTCCCTAAACCTTCAATTTGTAAAAATCGCAGTGCAAGTACAATAAAATGAAGCACAATGACATGAGGTATGCCTGTATGTTAAAGTACTAGACAGCAAAGTACTGGATAGGATAGGGACTTTGTCTTGCTCACAAAATGGTACCTAGAACAGTCCTTGGCAAATGCAGGTGCTCAGCAAGTGTTCATGGGCTGCATGAATGCCTTGGGAGGAAAATGCTATCGCACAAAAGAGTTATAAGCAGAGTGATATATCAAAAAAGCTGGAGAAACATTTAGAACCAGGGTTCAAATAAATCTTTTCAAGGTTTTGCTCTTTCGGTCTGAGTCTTTGTGGAAATTCTGAGCTGAATTTGCTAGTTTACAAGCAGCCTCCCATTCCTGCCCAATATAGAAAACATACCTTAGTCCTCTAAATGACAGCTGAAATCACCTTGGTTTAAACTCATTCGTACAGAGTAGGCACCAGAGCATTTGCCCTTCAGAATTGCTATTGTATTTTTTATTTTTATTTATTTATTATTTTATTTTATTATGTTATGTTAGTCACCATACAATACGTCATTAGTTTTTGATGTAGTGATCCATGATTCATTGTTTGCATAAAATACCCAGTGCTCCATGCAATACATGCCCTCCTTAATACCCATCACCGTGCTATCCCATCCCCCCCCTTCCCCTTCCCCTCTAAAACCCTCAGTTTGTTTCTTGAATTCCATAGTCTCTCATGGTTCATCTCACCCTCCGATTCCACCCCCTTCATTTTTCCCTTCCTTCTCCTAATGTCCTCCATGCTACCACTATTGTAGAGTCTGATCCAGCCTGAAGACTTTGTACCTTTTTCTGGCAATGGATTTGTTAATTGAGGTGAACTTCACACAACATGAAATGCACCCTTTTAAAGTATACAATGAAGTAGCAATTTAGTATATGCACAATGTTGTGCAACCACCACCTGTATGTAGTTCCAGAACATTTCCATCATCCTGAGATAAAATCCATTAAGCAATCACTTCCCATTTTTCCTTCTCCTGGGCTCTGGCAACCACTAATCTGCTTTCTGTTTCTGTGGATTTGCCTGTTCTGGACACGTCATAGAAATGGAATCCTACACTGTGTGACCTTTGTGTCTGGTTTCTTGCACCCAGCATGATGGTTTCAAGGTTTACCCATGTTGTAACATGAATCAGAACTTTATTCCTTTTTATGACTGAATAATATTCCACTGTGTGGATATACTACTTTAAAACAAATCCATTCATCTGTTGATGGACATCTGATCTCTTTCTTCCTTTTGGCTACCATGAATACTGCTGCTAGGAACATGGGCATGCAGGTATCTGAGTCTCTGCTTTCAATTCTCTTGGGTATATTCTTAGGAGTGGAATTGCTGGGTCATATGGGAATATTATGTTTAAATTTTTGAGGAAATGGGCAATGAAACTTCATAATGAAATGTTCCTGTTAATTACATGATTATTTGTTCATGACTTCCATGGACACTTGTTGAACTCCCAGTGTGGGCTTGGGCTGATTCCTGCCCTCAAGAAGCTCACTCTCTAGGTGGTGATGACACATCATGGAAATGTTGAGTCCACCAGAGGTAACAATGGATAACCTGGATGGCAGGTGTACTCTGGACCAGGCACTGTGCTAAGTACTCTACATATAGTATTTCATCTAACCTTCCCATCCTTCCAAGGAGGTAGGTGCCATGATGACCCCCATCTTACGGATGAGTAAATCAATCTTGCAGAGTGTGATGGTTAATTTTATGTGTCAGCTTGGCTGGGCCAGTGGGTACCCAGATATATTTGGTCAAGCATGATTCTGGGTGTGTCTGTGATAGTGTTTCTGGATGAAATGAACATTTGAATGGGTAGATGGAGTAAAGCAGATTGCCCTTCCCAATTTTAGTGGGCCTCATCCAGTCAGTGGAGGGCCTGAACAGAACAAGATGTCTGAGTAAGAGGGAATTATCTCCTGCCTGAATGCCTGACTGATTGAGTGCCTTAAGCTGGGACACTGTTTTTTTTTTGTTGTTGTTCAGGCTTGCCTGAAACATCAGCTCTCCATGGTCTCAGGTCTCTGGAGTTGAACTGGAATGACACCATTGGTTCTCCTAGATCTCTAGCTTGTTCACTGCAGAACTTGGGACATGTCAGCCTCCATATTTGCATGAATGAATTTTTTATAACAAATCTTTTTTATCTATGTCTATTATTGGTTCTGTTTCTCTGGAGAACCCTGACTAATACAGAGGGCTGTGTCATTTTGCCCATGTTACTTGTCACTGTGGTGCTGTGATTTGAACCGCTGTCTATACTTCTAACCTCCACAGAAGAACATGGGGAAGAACATGATATAAACTCATATGGAAGGGTTTAGGGAGGTCATCCAGGGGGATGTGCAACCTGAATTGAGTCTTGAGCAGAGAAGGGTAGAAGGAAGCCAGCCAGGTGAGGAACTGGGAACAGAGTTGCAGGCAGAGAGATCAGCATGTACTTGGAGGCCTGGAGCTTGGAGGGCAAGATGTGAATGGTCCCTTTGGAGTAGAGCAGGGTGAAGGTGGGGAGTAGGGAGAGGAAGGGATGAGCCCATTCTGCTAGACTTTAGGTTCTTGGAGACATGGGTCATTCTCTCTGTTAACATTCAGAGTCAGTTTACAGACACTAAGTGATTACTACCTAACAGGCACTTTCTTTTTTTTTTTTTTTAATTTAATTCAATTTTATTTAAATTCAGTTAATTAACATATAGTATATTATTAGTTTCAGAGGTAGAATGTAGTGATTCATCAGTTGCATACAACACCCAGTGCTCATTACATCACATGCCGTCCTTAATGATCATCACCCAGTTACCACATCCTCCCAGCCCCCACCCCTCCAGCAACCCTCAGTTTGTTTCCTATGGTTAAGAGTCTCTTATGGTTTATCTCCCTCTCTGATTTTGTCCCATTCTATTTTTCCCTCCCTTCTTCTATGCTCCTCTGTTTTAACAGGCACTTTCTTGGTCTGTCTTTTGTAACTGCCTACAATATCTGTTCCCCTCCCCCTTCCTTTTACTAATTGAATGAATTCCTTAAAATTTTTCCTGGACCATGTTCCCCATATACAGACCACGTTGTCCCAGCTTCCCTTGCAGCTAGGTTTTGCCGTGATACCTTCGACTTCTGGGTTGTTGCTTTAAGACAGATCTCCAAGGAAATTATCACAACTTCATTAGCATATAATCAAGTGAGTAGATGCCCTTTTCTCCACTCTCCCCTCTTCACTTTGTGCTCTAGGCAAATTGCCCTGGACTCATCTCCCCTCTATCCACTGGTACAAATACCACATTGCAGCAACCCAGTTTTGGTCATGTCATTGAGGACAAGATGCCAGGGGATGGTGGAGCAGCAGTATGGGAAGAATGTGAGTACCCTTAATGGCCTCATGGAGCAGAGTCCTTTCACCAGCCTGGACCGTTAACTCAGAAAGTAATAAAGATCCATCTTTTTAAAGCTGTTGGATATTTGGGCCTCTTTGTTGTAGCAGCTCAGCATACCCTAATACAGTTTCTTTTTTTTTTTTTTTTAAAGATTTTATTTATTTGACAGAGAGAGAGACAGCGAGAGAGGGAACACAAGCAGGGGGGAGTGGGAGAGGGATAAGCAGGCTTCCCGCAGAGCAGAGAGTCTGATGCGGGGCTCGATCCCAGGACCCCAGGATCATGACCTGAGCCAAAGGCAGATGTTTAACGACTGAGCCACCCAGGTGCCCCTAATACAGTTTCACTTTGTCTTTCTTGGTCTGGGATGGATCCTATCTTTAGGGGGCAGTATACACACACGTGTGCATGTGTGTGCATGCACACACACACACATCCATATGTACATACACACTCTATCTCTACTGTGAGATATATAGCAATATACATATAGTGATAAATAGTGGTATATTTATATAGTTCAGCTATACATAATATAAATTATATGTAACATTGTACTATTGTGTTATAATTAATTTCTATTATACTATAATTAAAAACTATTATATTAACATATAGTACATAGAATAACATGTAATATATAATATATATGACATGTCACACATTTATGATACACAGATGGTATACAGTGTATAGTGGACATATAATATATAGTATCCACCTCCACCTGCTAATTTTGGGGTTTGTAAACATTTGTTACCTGGCTGGGTTCAAGGACTGGGCTTATGCTCACATCCTTCATGCCTTTGGTTGTTGCTGAGGAAGTGGTTTCTGTAAAAAAAAAATCAAGGGAAGTTTTTGTTGGAACCGAGAGTAAAAGGGTGGAGAGGTGGACAGGAAGGTGAAAAGAGGGGCTGAACTCATACTCTATTTTTTTATTTTAAAATTTTTTATTTATTAATTTTAAAATTCCAGTATCATTAACACACAGTATTCTGTTAGTTTCAGGTGTCCAATATAGTGATTCAACAATTCTGTACATTACTTAGTGCTCATCAGGATAAGTGTACTCTTCATCCTCATCACCTAGTCCACCCATCCCCTCACTCACCTCCCCTCTGGCAACCACTGGTTTGTTCTCTATAGTTAAGAGTCTGTTTTTTTTTTTTTTTTTTTTAAAGATTTTATGTATTTATTTGACACACAGAGAGAGGGCACAAGTAAGCAGAGCAGTGGGCAGAGGGAGAGGGAGAAGCAGGCTCTCCCCTGAGCAGGGAGCCTGATGTGGACCTAGATCTCAGGACCCTGGGATCACGACCTGAGCTAAAGGCAGTCGCTTAACCAACTGAGCCACCCAGGCACCCCAAGAGTCTGTTTTTTGTTTGTCCTTTTTTTTCTTTTGAACTCACATCTTTTTTTTTTTTGCAAGTTTAACCACTTAAAACATTATATTTTATTTTTTTATTAACATATAATGTATTATTTGTTTCAGAGGTACAGGTCTGTGATTCATCAGTCTTAATGCAGTTGACAGCGCTCACCATAGTACATACCCTCCCCAATGTCCATCACCCAGCCACCCCACCCCTCCCGCCCCCACCACTCCAGCAACCCTTAGTTTGTTTCCTGAGATTAAGAGTGCCTTATGATTTGTCTCCCTCTCTGGTTTAGTCTTGTTTCATTTTTTCCTCTCTTCCCCTATGATCCTCTGCCTTGTTTCTTAAATTCCACATATCAATGAGATATGATAATTGTCTTCCTCTGATTGACTTATTTCGCTTAGCATAATACCCTCCAGCTCCATCCACATTGTTGCAAATGGCAAAATTTCATTTTTTGATGGCTACATAATATTCCATTGTATATATATATATACCACATCTTCTTTATCCATTCATCTGTTGATGGACATCTGGGCTCTTTACATAGTTTGGCTATTGTGGACATTGCTGCTATAAACATCGTGCCCCTTTGGATCATTACATTTGTACCTTTGGGGTAAATACCCAGTAGTGCAATTGCTGGGTCATATGGTAGCTCTATTTTCAACTTTTTGAGGAACCTCCATACTGTTTTCCAGAGTGGCTGCACCAGCTTGCATTCCCACCAACAGTGTAGGAGGGTTCCCCTTTTTCTGCCTCCCTGCCAACATCTGTCATTTCCTGACATTAATTTTAGCCATTCTGACTGGTGTGAGGTGGTATCTCATTGAGGTTTTGATTTGGATTTCCCTGATGCCGAATGATGTTGAGCATTTTTTCATGTGTCTCTTGACCATTGTATGTCTTCTTTGGAGAAATGTTTATTCATGTCTTCTGCCCAAGGAGAGGGAGTCCATATATATATATATTGGAGAATCAGATGAAATGTGAATCATATCAGCAAACATTTGTAGACACTGTCTTAAGTGGTCTGTATGGTACTGTTCCATTTATGCCTCAATTAATCTTTGCAACAGCCCCATGGGGTATACACCCTGGGAGGTGTATCTGCTGATTTAATGAATTAATTAATTTCTTTTTTTCTTGATGAGCCTGGCTACAGGTTTAATACTTGTTTATCTTTTCAAAGAACCCACTCTTGTTTCATTAACTTTTTCCTATTGCTTTTTTTTTTTTTGGTCTCTGTTTAATTTATTTCTGCTCTGATCTTTATTATTTCCTTCCTTCTACTAACTTTGGGCTTTGTTCTTCTTCTTTTTTTTTTCTATTCCTTTAGGTGTAAGGTTTTATTGTTTGAGATTTTTCTTGTCTCTTGAGGTAGTTCTAAGAAAGAAACTTCTTTCTTAGAACTGCTTTTACTATGTCGCAAAGATTTTAGGTCAGAGGTTCCTGCCTGGCTCAGTTGGTAGAGCATGTGATTCTTGATCTCAGGGTCATGGGTTCAAGCCTCATGTTGGGTTCAGAGATTATTTAAAGCCACTATTTCCTTATTGATTTTCAGTCTGGATGATCTATCCATTGATGTAAGTGGAGTATTAAAGTGCCCAACTATGGGGCGGCTGGGTGACTTAGATGGTTAAGTGTCTGCCTTTGGCTCGGGTTATGATCCCAGGGTCCTGGGATCAAGCCCTGCATTGGGCTCCCTGCTCAGCAGGGGGCCTGCTTCTTCCCCTCCCTCTGTTTCTCCGCCTGCTCATGTTCTCTCTCTTTCTCTGTATCTCCATGTCTCGAATGAATAAATAAAATTTTCTTAAAAAAAAAAAAAGTGCCCAACTATTATTGTATTACTGTCAATTTCTCCCTTTATGTCTGTTAAAATTTGCCTTATATATTTAGATGCTCCTATGTTGGGTACATAGATATTTGCAATTGTTATATCCTCTTGTTGGATTGATCCCTTTATCATTATGTAATGACAGTCTTTGTTTCAAAGTTTATTTTGTCTCATATAAGTATCACTACCCTAGCTTTTTGTTTGCTTGTTTGTTTACATTTGCTTGAATACCTTTGTCCATCCCCTCACTTTCAATCTGTGTATGTGTTTAGGTCTGAAGTAAGTCTCTTGTAGGCAGCATATAGATGGATCTTTTATTTAATCCATTCAACTACCTTATGTCTTTTGATTGGAGCATTTAGATTTAAAGTAATTATTGATAGATATGACCTATTGATTTTCAAAGCCAGACAATATGGGGGCTTGCCTTCCTGGTGCAGGTCCCCAGGTGAGTGAGAGCTTGAACTCCTTGCTGCTCAGGGAGAACCTTTGCACTTGTAACATTCCAGCTTGTTGTTGCTGCACTGGGGGTTTTGGTTCCTGACCTGACCATCTCTTGGCTTCTCCTACCCTTCTTGATGTGGCTTTATCTCTATCTTTAGCTGTGGAAGAGATGCTCTGCTAGTCTTTATGTCACTCTCAGAGAGAGTTGCTCTATATGTAGTTGCAGCCTTGGTGTGTTCAAGGGAGGAGGTGAGCTCAGGATGTCCCTACTCCACCATCTTCCCCTTGTGTCTCCCAGTTACATCTCCCATATTTCTTGTGCATAGATTTCCCTGTCTATGTGGCTTCCAAGAGAGTGTTCATGCTTATACAAGAAGGTGCCTCCCCCTGGACACAGATCCAAGGGTGGGCATATAACTCAAACTGGACTAATTGGTACATTTCCACAGTATTTACAATTAGGTCCAAAAGAGAGTCAGTTGATCTCTCTTTGGTGGTTTGATCATTAACAATGGTAAAATTTGGACTTGTTGGTGGCCATATTTCCTGTCCTGTGGGCTAAGAAGGCAGAGAAAGTCATTTTGCAATGAAAAAGAAGAAAGGAGTAGACCCAAAGAGCTTCAGAGCCTGGGGTGTCTTGATAGTGTGAAGTCTCCATTTCAGTTCATTCCAGAAGCTCTGCTATGTTCTTGTTCTTGAGTTCCAAGACATATCCATGCATCCTTTTCATAAACTCATCTTTTCTGTTTAAGTTAGCCTGAGTGTGCTCCTCTTTGCAATTCAAAAAATCCTGTCTCAGTCAGCACATTGTCACCCCCATTTCCAAAGTCCACTTGTCTTATTAACCTCATTATTTCTCTAAACTTCCTTCTTTCCTTTTGTCTCCTCTTTCCATCATCCATTTACCTCCAGAAAATGGAAACATGTACTAGCTTCACCACACACACACACACACACACACACACACACACACACACACACACACATATTTTCTGGCATTAGACTCAATGAAAAATAAGAAGGGAGACAAGAAGACAAGAATTTCCTTACTTTGACAAGTGTTTTCACTGGAGATCTGGAATTGAGTACCCCCAGAGAGGAGTTTGTATCCAGGATTACAGAGACAGTGGAAACCTCCATCAACATTCTGACATGCAGCATTTGCTCCACAATATATACTAATGGGTGGTTTACATTCATCAATATCTGGAACACAAAAGAGCAATTTGGCCATTAATTTCACAGAGATCTATGGAACATGTAATATGTTCCAGAGGCTATACCCTCTCCACCCAATCTGTCCTGACTTTCCAGGACAACTCAGTTAAGGTAGTGGGTTGTCTTTGTTCTTCCCTTTCCTCTTTGACTTTGGTTGGATTCTCTCAGAAGCAGACACTGAGACAGGAATTCATGTTCAAGTACTTTATGTGGGAGGTGACCCCAGAAAACACTGGAAGGGAAGTGGTGAAATGAGACAGTGAAAGCCAGACAGAAAGTAAAGAGGGAAGTTTCCATTGTGGGCAATTGGGACTTGATTCCTCTGGGACCCTCTGGGAGGAGTGTAGAGCACACGCTGCAGAGTGACTCCCTGAGGGGTGAGGGGGCTGGGGTATTTATCTGCCAAATCTTTTTTTCTTTTAAGTTTTTATTTAAATTGTAGTTGGTTAACACATAGTGTAATATTGGTTTTGGGAATAGTATTTAGTGATTCATCAGTTACATACAACACCCAGTGCTCATTACAACAAATGTCCTCCTCAATCCCCATCACCCATCTAGCCCATCCCCCACCCACCTCTCCTCCAGCAACCCTCAATTTGTTCTCCGTAGTTAAGAGTCTCTTATGGTGTGCCTCCCTCTCTCTTTTTTCCCCCCTTCCCCTATGCTCCTCTGTTTTGTTTCTTAAATTCCACATGGGTGAAATCATATAGTATTTGTCTTTCTCTGACTGACTTATTTTGCTTAGCATAATACCTTCTAGCTCCATCCATGTCATTGCAAATGGCAAGATTTCATTCTTTTTGATGGCTGAGTAATATTCCATTGTGTATATATATCTATATCTATATATCTATATCTATATCTATATATCTATCTCACATCTTCTTTATCCATTCACAGTTGATGGACGTTTGGGCTTTTTCCATAATTTGGCCATTATTGACAATGCTTTTATCTGCCAAATCTTCACATTCATTGGCAGAGAAGTGCTTGCAGGGATAGTTAACTCTCCAGTACTTCCACCTGTCCTGAGCATGAACTGAGTGGTCTCCAGTACCCAGAGAGAGCCTTAGACTTGATATGCAAAAGAATGGCAAGTGCTGAGAGCATATAAGTGGGAAACTGACTGTGTCTGCTGTTATGAACTGTATGTATGTCCCCTCAATTCAACGTGTTGAAACCCTAACTCCCAGTGTGGCTGTATTTGGAAATGGGGCCTCTAAGGATGTAACTGAGGTTAAATGAGGTAATAAGAATGGGGCCTTGATCTGTTAGGATTAGTGTCTGTAGAAGAGACAAGAGAGCTTCTCCACCTGCCTGACCACTGTGTGAACAGAGTGAGGAAAGACCATGTGAAGATAGAGCAAGAAGACAGGCATCTTCAAGCCAGGAAGAGAGGCCTCCTGAGAAAGTGGAACTGCCAGAACCTTGACCTTGGGCTTCCCAGCTTCCAGAACTGTGGGGAAAATAAATTTCTGTTGTTTAAGCCACCCGGTCTGTGGTGTTTTGTCATAGCAGCCCAAGCAGAGTAATACACTTGCTAGATTAACTAATTGAGTTAGAATGTCTTGATTAAGTCAATGTGTCTCCAGTCCTGAGCCCCTCTACAAATGTCAGGTGGGTAGTGAAGATGTGTGATTTCCCAATCTGGTATGGCAAATATGAAGTTGGGAATTTTCAGATTGTGATATAGCAGAGCAGATGCTCTCGGTTGCCCACTCAACAACCATTCTCTTTGGAGGAGGCCGTCTCGTTCCCATCTCCCAGGCACTCTCCCCTCCAGCTTCCTTCCAGCTTTCATGTTGCACCCCTAGCCAATGAAAAGCAAGGATGTTCTTCCTGGGGCGTCTGCAAGAAACCTAAGCCTGAGACAGAAGTCACTACAAAGGGATGAGACTCAGACTGGTGTTGGAAGTTTTGTCTGCAACCCTGTAAGCTTGAAGACAGTTGGTTCTGTGATCACTGGGGTATTCACTGATGGATCACTTGGAGAAGAGGATGGAACAAAATGTCCCCCACCAAGGCAGGATTGAACCTACTCGTTAGAGCCAAAGAAATGCGAGATGATGCATTCATGGAGAGAGACATTAGTTATGTGGACCAGTTTGAAGAAAGCATGTCAGGAAGTGCTCCAAACAAACAACAAATTAACAAGTATGAAACTAGGAAGTACAGAAACCTCAACAAAGGGGGAAATGAAGGTAAGAGGAAGCAGGGGTGAGCAGTGAACCTTGAGATAAAGTTAAAATCATGGGGGGTGTGGCAGGGGAGATGGGGTTGGGGTGAAATTACAGTATTTTAAAGATCTCATCTCTTTACTGGGGGAGGGGAAGTGAGGATGAAATGAAGCATCTTTTTAAAAAAATGCTAGTATAATTAACATACAGTGTTATATTATTTCCAGGTGGGCAATATGGTGATTCGACAATTCTATATGTTACTCAGTGCTCATCACAGTGAGGGTACTCTCATCCCCTTCACATGAAATGATGGAAAACAGTGCATCTTGGAAGGGGAAATAAGTGATGAGTTTAAAAAAATAATAGTAGAGAAAGACATGTTTGATTATGAAGTTAAGAGAAGGTAGCCATGAATGGGGTGGAAAAGTATATTAGGACTTCCAAATAAATAAAGGGAAATGATGGGATGGTTGGGTCGCTTAGTCAGTTAAGCATTGTACTCTTGGTTTCAGCTCAGATCATGATCTCAGGGTTGTGAGATCGAGCCTCTGCTGGGCATGGAGCTTGCTTGGGATTCTCTCTCTCCCTCTGCCCCTACCTCCACCCTCCACTCATGCTCTCTCTCTCTTAAAAAAAATAAAGAGGAAATGCTGATTTCATGAAAGCATTTCTTTCTTGATGAGGGTGGAGTTGGTAGATATTTTTTTAGCAGTGCACATTATTGGCAGTTGCCTCCCCAAGATCCCTATGCTGTCTCCCTTCCACTCCCGCCTCTGGGTGGTTCGAAAATTATCCCTTACCTTCACATGTAGCCAAGGGAAATGTGAAGAATTCCTTCCCATTCATAGAAGTGTATCCATGTTTGCATGTACAGTAAGTGCTGTTGACACAGTCAGCATTCCGGGGGCATTTACAGGGAGCTGCAGGGAGAAGGAGGAACAGGTCAAACATCCGCTGGGGTTAAGAGATGTCCTGTTATCGGGCGCCTGGGTGGCTCAGTTGGTTAAGCGACTGCCTTCGGCTCAGGTCATGATCCTGGAGTCCCGGGATCGAGTCCTACGTCGGGCTCCAGCAGGGAGTCTGCCCCTCTCTCTGACCCTCCCCCCTCTCATGCTATCTCATTCTCTCTCTCTCAAATAAATAAATAAAATCTTAAAAAAAAAAAAAAAAAAAGAGATGTCCTGTTATCATTTGCTTTTGCCTCTGACCAGGACCTCTTGAGGATCAGGAAGTCTACACCCTTTTCCTCTTGTGAGACCTCAGTACATTACAAAATGAGAGATACCAAACCCAAGGTACAGAAAAAAGAGATTTGTTTTCATGATAAAGACCGAGGTTGGCAGTTAAATTAATTTTAACACAAAAATTTCAATGTGATAAAATTGTGCTATTCTCAAGATCATTGCAGAATTTATAAAAAGGGGAATGAATTGGTTAAGACCCTGGGTTTGGGGCGCCTGGGTGGCTCAGTTGGTTAAGCGACTGCCTTCGGCTCGGGTCATGATCCTGGAGTCCCAGGATCGAGTCCCACATTGGGCTCCCTGCTCAGCAGGGAGTCTGCTTCTCCCTCTGACCCTCCTCCCTCTCATGCTCTCTGTCTCTCATTGTCTCTCTCGCAAATAAATAAAATCTTAAAAAAAAAAAAAAAAGACCCTGGGTTCGATTCTGACTCTGCCACTTACCAGTGTCTTTGCACAAATGTCTTCATCTCTCTGTGCCTCAATACCCTCATCTGTAAACTGGGTTATTGTGAAGAGTAAGTGAATTAATACATATAAAGTGTGTTGGGCAGTGCCTGGCACATAATAAGTATCAGCTAGGATTATAAAATTTTGAATTTGTAGGGGTCCACAGGAGGTATATTCTGATATGGGTACACATTATCTTTGTAACCCTATGTATAACTTCATTTGGACAGAGAGACCCTAAAGATCTTAATTTGAGCCCTCTTGGGAATGAACTGAGCTGAGGAAGGATCTCGAGCTTTGGGTCTAGTGGAGAAAGCTGGGAACTTCAGTGTTCATAGGTAGTGGGGACAGGGAACCTGATGGGGCCACAGTGGGCAATCTGGCTACTCAGAAGGTGTCCCCTGAAGGTTGGCTAGAGACAGAATCTCAGGCCCCACACTAGACCTGCTGAATCAGAATCTAGTGAGATCTCCGAGGGATTAAAGTTAGCCTGAAGTCATCTTCATTTTTTTTTTTGGTGCCTCGCTTATGATCAGAATGAAATGGTTACTGTCATGCTTTGTCTCTCCCCACTGGAATGCTCACTTCGTGAGGCTGTGTATTTTAGTCACTGTTCTATTCCTACATTGGGCACATTGTGGTTACTGAAAACAAACAAATAGACAAAGGACAGTAAAATAAAAAGATACATTAAGGGACGCCTGGGTGACTCAGTCGGAAGAGCACGTGACTCTTAATCTCGGGGTCGTAAGTTCAGGACTACTTAAATAAATGAAACTTAAAAACGATACATTAAAATTTGATGAAATGATGAACTAAAAAGAATGACAGGAGCAAGCATCCCTGAGTTCTGCTCCTAGAACAAGCCCCTTTGCTCTAGCCCCTTGGAGGATGTGAGTGGTCCCAGGTGTGCCCTTGGTCTACACCCTTCCTGGTCTCTGGCTGTGGAGAAGTCAGGTATTGGGCACTTACCTATGCTCTTATGATCCACGACTTCTGATAAACTCAGCAGAAAACAGAGCCCTGGAACAGGGAAGCAGAAGGGAGACACATGAATTGAATGAGGAAAGATTCCAGGAAAGTCTCCAAGGACTGTGTATCAGTTATCCTCAGCTGCATAAAGACTATCACAAAATGAAATGGCTTAAAACAGCAACGACCGGGTGCCTGGGTGGCTCAGTTGGTTAAGCGACTGCCTTCGGCTCAGGTCATGATCCTGGAGTCCCGGGATCGAGTCCCACATCGGGCTCCCTGCTCGGCGAGGAGCCTGCTTCTCCCTCTGACCCTCCCCCCTCTCATGTACTCTCTCTCATTCTCGCTCTCTCAAATAAATAAATAAAAAAAATCTTAAAAAAAAAACAAACAGCAACGACCATTTCCTTATCTTTCATGGTTTCTGTGCTTTGGGAATCTGGAAAAGGCTCAGCTGGGTGAGTCTGGTTTGGGGTTCCTTATACAGTTGCAGTTAGGCAGTGTTTGGGGCTAGAGCACCTGGGAACTGGCTCTGTGCTGCTCTCCCTTCATGTAGCCTCAGACTTGGGGAGTTTGGCCTTCCTGCCAACATGGTGACCTCAGGCATGCAGCCTCCATGGTGGTTCAGAGCTCTAAGTAGGGGTGCCCCAGCCAACAAGTCTACGTCTCCTGTTAAGACCCAGCCCTGGAAACCATGCAACTCCATTTCTACCACATTCTCTTGGTTACAAGATTCAAGTGGATAGGAATCAGTCTTCCTCTTGAGGGAGGACTGGCAAGATTCTAGAAACGCTTCTTGGAAGGGAAGTATTTTTTTTGTTTTCTTGGGAAATGCAGGCTGCCTCTACCATGGTTGATAAAATGGTATTTTCTTTTCCCCAAACCTTCCCAGCTGCTGGTGGGGTCAGCAGCCATGTTCCTGCTTCTGCAAAGACCTGAAGCTACTGGATGGATGGGTGACTTCTCTTTCCCTTTCCTGAGAAATCCAACAACACTCTGATTGCTAGTTTTCTCCTCACCTTCTTTTCATTCCCTTATTACCTACTAATGTCTAGAATTATTTGCCATTTGCAAGGACAATATTAACAGCTGGTATGGTGCAGGAATCGACCAATCAGAGTGGACACTGGAGACCCTTCTCTGTTGCAGCAGATATTATTTTAGCTGCTGAATTGTGGGGAGGTGGCTGGAATCTCAGGGCAGGGTCTGGGCTGGCAGGAGTGTGGTGGGAGCTGGTTTTGGGCAGTGATTATTTACAAATGGTGTGGGAATATTTCAATACGAACAACCAACCAGGGGCTCTTCTAGTGTGCACTGGTTGAAATTTAGCCCTGGTGACCAGTCACCTTATTTGCAATTTTGGTTACCCATTGAGAAAGTGGGTCCTGCAGATAAATGGATAAAGAAAATGTGGTGCATATATACACAATGGAGTATTATTTGGCCTTAAAAAATAAGGAAATCCTGTAATTTGTAGCAACATCTATGAAACTAGAAGACATTATGATGAGTGAAATAAGTCAGACACAGAAGGACAAATACTGCACAATTCCACTTACATGAGATATCTAAGTAGTCAAACTCATGGAAGCAGAGAATAGATTGACGGTTAGCGGGGGCTAGGGAGAGGGGGAAATGGGAAATTGCTTTTCAGTGGGTATAAAGTTTTTGTTATATAAGGTGAGTAAGTTCTAGAGATCTGCCATAAAACCTAGTACCTATAGTTAACAATACGGTGTTGTTGTCAAGATATGTTAAAAGAATAGATCTCATGTTATGTGTTCTCACCAAACACACACACACACACGCACGCAGAGGGAAATTTTTGGAGGTGATGGATATGCTTGGCACCTTCATTGTGGTGATGATGGTATTATGGATGTATGGTGTATGCATATATATAAAAACTTATCAAGATGTATGCATTAAATGTGTGCGATTTTTTGTGCCTAGATTATACCTCAATATGGCTAAAATTAAAAAAAGAAAGTGGGTCCTAATAATAGAAGGGTCTCTGTTTATCAAGTGGGGAGATAGGTGTAGGTCAGGATGGACTAGTTAGGTGGGACTGGGATAACTTCGATCTTGTGCATGAAGGACTGGGATCAGGTGATTGAGAGACAGTCTGAGGCTGAGAGTCTGGACAAGATGGTGTGTGTGTGTGTGTGTGTGTGTGTGCTTTCCTGGGGAAGCCCAGGAGATGTGGCAGCTGGCCGCTCTGAAGCAAGACTTGGAGGAGATGGGAATTTGGGAGTAAAAATTTGCATGCCCTATGATGCAACCACTCTTCCATCCTGCCTATAAACACACCAGTGAAACCTTCCTTGCAGAGAGATACTATGTCTTGGAGAGAGGAGTTCCTTGGTGGGGGGCTGGGCAAAATACGAAGGCTGGCCTCTACAACATCTAAGGGGAAAAGAGCTCTTACTACATGCCAGGCGTTATTCTAAGCACCAGGCCCATAAACTTAATTCAGCTTTGCAACGACTTTAGGAGGTGAGTGCTGTTAGCATCATCCCATTTGTGAACATTAAGAAACAGAGGCACAGGGCGCCTGGGTGGCTCAGTCGTTAAGCGTCTGCCTTCGGCTCAGGTCATGATCCCAGGGTCCTGGGATCGAGCCCCGCATTGGGCTCACTGCTCAGTGGGGAGCCTCCTTCTCCCTCTGCCTCTACCCCTTCTCCCTGCTCTCTCTCTGTCAAATAAATAAAATCTTAAAAACAAAAAAAAAGGAAACAGGCACCAAGGGGCTAAGGTACTTGCTCCATTTCCCAGAGCTAGTCAGTGGCAGAGCTGAGATTAAACTCAGGTGCTGGGTTCCTGCTGATAACCTACCACCCCCCACAACCTCTCTTATAGAAATCCCACGCAAGCTGCATGCATAAGAGCTGCCGCTGAGATTGGCATGTTTCCAGTGACAGTGACTTGAGGAAAGGGTGCCTTTTCTTCCAGTAGATGTCGCTCCCCAGATGTGACAGTCCAATAGGAGGTGTGATATGTTACTTGGTGATTTGGGGGCATTCTAGACTGATTGCAGGATTTGGAAGACAAAACCCTATGGACTAGCGGTGACCCTTTAAGAGTGGGAGGGAGGGCGGTACTAACTCTTTTTGAATTTCCCTGTATGAGTTTCTGATTGTTGACAAATTACCGTGAACTTAGTGGCTTAAAAACTAAGTTCTGTAAGCCAGACATCCAAAGTTAGTCTCACTGGGCTGACATTAAAGTGTTGGCGGGACTGCTTCCTTTTGGACACTCTAGGGGAGAATCCATTTCTTTCCACTGCCAATGGTCAGAGGTGACCCACATTCCGTGCTTACAGTCTCCTCTCCATCCTCAGAGCCAGCAGCACCTTCTTTCCTTCCTTCCTTCCTGGCGTCCTGCCTCCCTCTTATAAGGACCCTCATGATTGGGGCGCCTGGGTGGCTCAGTCGTTAAGTGTCTGCCTTCGGCTCAGGTCATGATCCCAGGGTCCTGGGATTGAGCCCCGCATCAGGCTCCTTGCTCCGTGGGAAGCCTGCTTCTCCCTCTCCCACTCCCCCTGCTTGTGTTCCCTCTCTCGCTGTGTCTCTCTCTGTCAAATAAATAAATAAAATCTTTAAAAAAAAAAAAAAAAGGACCCTCATGATTATAATGAGCCTGCCTGTATAATCCAGGATAATCTCCCCATCCCAAGATCCTTAGCTTAATCCATATCTGTAAAGTCCCTTTGACCACGTGAAGTTGCTCACGACAGGCCACCCCCAAATATGCCGCTTTGGCGTGTTGGTTATTTGGAGTGGAAGTCACCTGAGAAATAGCCCATGCAGAAAGCGTTTCTGATCTACTTTTTCCTACTTAAAATCAGGCCATAAAATTTCCCCTGAGAAAGATGCCCTCCACGTGCCAGGAAGAAAAGAATGTCCTTATCACCAGAGACTGGGAATGAACACTGAAATGGATCTGTACAAACGGACTCAGTGAAATAGCCCTTGTTTTCCTCCAGCTTTCCCTCCCACAGACCTCCTAGTCACTTTCTCGCAATTCACCATTCCTAGCCCAAACCCCTTGCCTTGTCATTTCACAAATTCATACCTTTGTCGAAAAGGCACAAAAACTTTCTGCTCTGGTCTTCATTCTCTTGTGAAGTCTCTCATGTACACGTTTCAATTTAATAAAACTTGTATGCTTCTCTCCTACTAATTTGTCTTATGTCAGCTTAATTCTTACTTTCAGCCAGAGACCCTAAGAGGGTAGTGGTGAAGTCTTTCCTGCCCTATGCATTTATGGTAACATATTCACAGGTTCCAGGGAATGAGGATATTGACATCTTTGGCGGCTGTTATTCATCCTTCCGTGCTCCCATCCTTCATCAAAGAAGGTGCCAGTTGTTACCAGTTTCGCAACTGCATTCATGGAGCATTTTGAATATTTTTGTTTGTCCAATGAATATGTTCTCAGCTGAGCTGTGAACTGCTTAATGGCAGGGCCCTGGCATATTTCTGAATGAATTTAAATTTCCCTGCCTCTACTTTTGTGTAATAATTAATTTGTAGAAGTTGCACTAATACACCTGCCCAAATGATGACTATAGCTCACAGAGCCCTTTAGTAACACATATAAGGTTGAAAAGCATTTCCTACTTCCTAAAGCTCAGGCAGTCTGGGCACCACGATGTTTCCTCAAGGCTAGTCTTCAGGGTCTCCTTCCAGTCCAGCCAGTAACCCTGTGCTCAGTGATATGTGCATGCATCTTAAATTAGGGTTTCCCCAGAGTCATGAGCATGCCTGAATCCCAGACTGCTAAGAAACTTTAGAAATCATCCACTGACTCTTTTTGTCCATGAGGAAACAGGTGCCTGGAGGTCAAGTGGCTTGGACACTATTTGTGCAAATTGTTTAACTTGTTTCCTTATATGAAACATGGTGACAGCATTGCCTACCACCTGGGGTTGGGTCTGATGACAAACAAGGGCATGCGTGAAGCACAATGTCTGGCAGGAATCACTCCATAAATGCTAGCTGTCTCCGTTACCATTCTATTTGCACTAGAGTCCTATTCTTATTCTTGGCCAGATGCTCATTCTGTTACACTGCCTATTGCATCCAGTGATGTGGGCAGAGAGTTCACAGGTAACTGAATTAACAATTAATCCCCATTCCAGAAGTGTCCAGGACTCTGCCTCCAGTTGCCAAAAAGCAGGAAACATCTTGTTTGAGCTTCTCTTTTTTTACATTTTGTTTAAGCTTTATAGATATATATATGTATACATATTTATATATAGATGTATAAATATATATGTATATATACTTATATAAAGATGTATAAATATATATATTGAGATATTAAAAAATTGCACACTCTCTCACTTAAATTTGATTCCATAGATATAGATCAGACACCTCTTATATATAAGATAGGAAGAGGCTGCAAAGGTGAGGGCACGAGGCATTTGCCTTCAAGAAGCTTATAATATTTTGATAGACTTTATGATCTACTATCTGCCTCTGCAACTAAACAGCTGTGAGAATTTAAACAAGTCCTACAACCTCTCCTTGATGCTATTTTGCATCTGTAATGTGAAGGTGTTGTACAATAATGCAGGTAAAACAATTTCAGGCTAAAGTATGTGCTCAATAAATGTAAGGTTGATATTGTGGCTATTGATATTGTTATTTGATCTGGAACCAGAAGGATGGATGGGACTCCAGAGTTGGGGAACCATCTGCACAAAGGTGGCGACTGAAGCCACGGAATCAAGAGTGTCCTCTAGGACAGGGAGCAGAAAAAGAGATCAGAGCAGAATCCTGTAGGAGGAACATTATGGCAAAGATCTGGAGCCAGGTGGCTTGGGTTTGAGTCTTGACTCTGCCATTTACAAGCTGTGTGACCTCAAGCAGGTACTACAATCACTCTGTGCCCCGGTTTTCTCATCCCTAAGATGGGGATAATATTAATATTCTTGGTACAGGACAGAGAAAAAGGAGGGGGAAGGAAAGAATGGCCAGAGAGGCAGAGAAAAAGCACAGAATTATCAAGGAGAAGAGGATGTTAAGTAGAAAACAAAACCTTTGAAAATGAAGCTGAACAGCTTCTTGGATTGGAGCCAGCAGGAAAATTTTAGGGATATTTGACAGCATAGTTTGAACAGGGTGGTGAGGAAGGAAACCACAATCCAAGGGGAAAGAGAGAATGTTTAAAGCAGAGCACAAGAAAGAGGAGAAGGAAAAGACAGCTAATTGTTGAACTGAGTAGCTCCTGATAGCGGGTGGGTTAGGGTACAGTCATTCCCAAGGTTACACATACCTGGAAGGAGTGATGGCCCTCGCATTTCTGCACGCAGGTAACCCTTGCTGCTCAGCTCTTGAAGCTCCTTATTGCTTTTTGCTGAGCACTTTTCTTATCTCAAGGAAATCTTATGAGAATTGATACACAGAGGTTAGCTGACTAAGGAAACTCCTCAGAAAAGGGAACTCGTTCTTGTCTTTCACCATCAGACCCATGGTTCTGCTCTTTTTCTTTTTTATTTGTTCCTTTTGTTTTCTGCACTTGTTTTCTTTTCTTTTCTTTTTTAAAAGATTTTATTTATTCATTTGAGACACAGAGATAGGGGGAGAGAAAGAGAGAATGAGCAGGGAGAGAGGCAGAGGGAGAAGCAGGCTCCCCACTGAGCCAGGAGCCCGATGTGGGGCTCGATCCCAGGACCCTGGGATCATGTCCTGAGCCGAAGGCAGACGCTTAACCATCTGAGCCACCCAGGCACCCCTCTGCACTTGTTTTCATATGCTTCTTTGGTGGTAGGTTTTCATAGCTACTGTTGATTGCCTTTGGGGTGACAGAATCAGTTGACCTTAGGAAAGGAATGCCTTTTAGTTACAGAGCATTGTCTGAGGAGTGGTTAGTGACTTTGGGGTCAAAATAAAGCTTAAATAACCCTGTGGTTTTGAGCTGGGTAAGCCAGAATTTAGGGTATCTCTGTTGGTATCTAAAGTTACTGGACGAGTCATTTTTCACAAATGTTGGTATTTTTACCCCCTTAACAGATAACACTCAACAGATCTAGCTAGAGTCTCAAAGTAGACCCAGTAGAGGGTGATAAAACTATTTGGTTATTTGGGGAAATCCAAACTAATTGCAGGATTTGGGAGAAAAATCTAAGTCCTTCCCACTTTCAACAAATATTTATTAAGACAAATATTATTTAGTGACAGGATCTTTGTTACAGCACAGCAGTGAACAAAGTTAACACAATCTTTTCTATACAGAACTACAGAGAAAGGGAACTTGGAGGAAAAGCATGTTTTTGGGGACAGATGGCATTAAGTTTTGGATAAGTTGATTTTGAGGTACTGTAATTTCAACATTCCTTACATATATAGTCTCGTTCACAAAAGAGAGGGCTTTTCCCCCAGTCACTAGATGGTAATTGTAGCCATAGTACTAGGTGAAATCATGTAGGGAGAGGTAGTAGAGTGAGAAGAGGGCCCTGGGCAAGTAACTTAAAAATCAGGGCGTGGAGGAGCAGAAAGTCGAGGAGACAGGCCAGGAGTGGCTAGACAGATGGGGGGAAATGAGCAGAATATGTTGTCATGGAGGGAAAGGAAAGAGACCAGATGGAATTAAGACTGAAAAATATTCGTGGGACAGAGCAGTAGAGAGGTTGTTGTATTCTTCTTCTTCTTCTTCTTCTTTTTTTAAGATTTTTATTTATTTATTTGAGAGAGAGAATGAGAGAGAGAGAGCATGAGGGGGGAGGGTCAGAGGGAGAAGCAGACCCCCCGATGCGGGACTCGATCCCGGGACTCCAGGATCATGACCTGAGCTGAAGGCAGTCGCTTAACCAACTGAGCCACCCAGGCGCCCCAGGTTGTTGTATTCTTATCAAGAGAAGTTCCAGTGGTGAGAATGATGGTGGTGATGATGATAAAGATGACGATGATGAAGGTGGTGGAGATGGTGGTGATAATGATGATAGTCATGGAAGTCAGAATGGAGGTGATTGAGGGAAAGTGGGAGGTGAAGAAGGGGAGATAGCAAGTATAGTCAACTCCAGAGACACTTGGAGGCAAGTATGTGAGCAAGGAAATAGAACAGACGGATTTCCTTGGGTGGTTGGGGCATGGGGGAATTTGCTGCCTCTTGGGGTTATCACGACCACAAGTCCTGCATAATAAGTTTGTTGGGCTCTCAACATCCCACCATCCCCTGTGGCCCAGCAGCCATGCAGTGGGGTTTCCTGTTCTTTCTCCCTAGTGGTCCTCTGGGAGTGTGGTGATAGTTGGAGGCAAGAGCTGATCAAGAAAGACAAGTGGTGCCACCTAATGGCCAGGTCTATGCTATTACAGAGTGTTGGTTCTAGAGCCAGACCAACTGGGTTCAAATCTTAGCTCTGCCACGTATTAGCTGTGTGACTTTGGGAAAGTCACTCAGCATCTGTCCCCCAGGCATCTCTGATCTGAGATAACTTTGATAGTCCCCTAGCTGGTTGTCCTTCTACCCCATTCTTCATCCTGCAGCTGGGAGAGCTTTCTGAAGGATGAATCTAAGCCCATCACACCCCTGCCTCACAGCCCCATGGATACTTTGCAAGCTAAATGTGCTTAGTAGGCTCAAAAAGCCCACCAGATCTGGCCCCAGTCTGCCTCTCCAGACTCATCTCTCACTTCTCTCTTAGCCTGCCCACCTGCCCTGCTGGCTCTCTATTACCCTCACACTGCTTCATAAAGCACGTAAGTATAAATCAGAGTGTCCCTAGCCATTTACCTGTGATACAGAATGAAATTATAATTCCTTTTTGTAACAACATTACAGCATAAAACTCCAGGGGATTTTTCCTGAAAATCAGACCCTCTGAAAATGTCTTCTCAGTTATTTCTGAGAGTCTCCTGCAGGTCCAGCTCACAGATGTCCTTTACGTCCATCCATCCATCCCTCCCTCCCTCCATCCATCCTTCCCTCCATCCATTCATCCCTCCCTCCATCCATCCCTTGATCCATCCATCCATCCATCCATCCATCCATCCATCCATCCATCCATCCATCCATCCATCCGTCTATCCATCCCTTACTCCATCCATCCTGCCATCCATCCACCCATCCATCCATCCGTCTATCCATCCCTCACTCCATCCATCCATTTATCGATCCATCCATCCATCGATTTATCCATCCATCCATCTATCCATCCCTCCTAGATTTTTCACTTCACTGACAGACTGCTGTCTTTGCTACTATTGACTTCGGTGAACAGTCTGTTCATTGTCTTATGCTGATTCCTACCCCTGACACTCTAGCCCTAGACTCAGGTTGGAAATGCTGTTCTCTCTGCTTCCTCCTGGCACATCTCAGCCAGGCTGTGATGTTTAATAAAGCTTTACTGAGGTCAAAGGTAATGTGATCCTGTTAAATCTAAGTCAGATCCTGTTCCTCCTCTGCTGAGAGCCTTCATGACTCCCACTTCACTTGTTTATTTTTTATTTATTTATTTTGACTCCCACTTCACTTAAAATAAAAGCCAAAGTTCTCACCATAGCCCATAAGTTCCTGTGTGATCTTCCCTTGTCACCTCCTTGCCCTCATCCCCTCCCAGTCTCCCCCACCCCGTCCTCTGCTTTCTCTGCTTCAGTCACACAAGTTCCTTGCCTTTCCTTGAACATTCCAGGCACACTCCTGCCTTGGCTTTTGTACTTGTTGTTCCCTAAATGCTTTCTACATAATGCTGTTCTTCCTAAATGCTTTCCTCCAGATTCCCGCATGTAATTACATGGCTCCCTGGCTGACTTCAAGTCATTGTTCAAGTGTCCGCTTGTTGGTGAGGCCTCCCCTGACCTCCCTGTCTAAAATCTCTCTCTCTCTCTCTGTCACCTTCTTCCTTTCTCCCTCCCTCCCTCTCTCTCTCTCAATCTTTCTCATACGCACATCCTCCGTCCACTTTGCTTAGTTATTTCTGTTCATTGCACCCACCACCTTCTAATATACAAAACAATTTGCTTATCTACTTCATTTATTTTGTTTGCTGTCTCTCTGCCCTACTGGAATGCCTGCTCTACGGGACAAGGAATTTTGTTTGGTTTATTCATTGCTGTAGTCCCTGTGCCTCACGCAGCATCTGGCACACAGTAGATGCTCAATAAATATTGATTTAATGAATCGCAGGAAACAAACTGAGGGTTGCTGGAGTGGGGGGTGGGGTGGGAGGGATGGGGTGACTGGGTGATAGACACTGGGGAGGGTATGTGCTCTGGTAAGCGCTGTGAATTGTGCAAGACTGTTGAATCTCAGATCTGTACCTCTGAAACAAATAATGCAATATATGTTCAGAAAAAAAAAAGAAGAAGAAGGTAGCGGGAGGGGAAGAATGAAGCAGGGGAAATCGGAGGGGTAGACGAACCATGAGAGACGATGGACTCTGAGAAACAAACTGAGGGTTCTGGAGGGGAGGGGGGTGGGAGGATGGGTTAGCCTGGTGGGGGGTATTGAGGAGGGCACATTCTGCATGGAGCACTGGGTGTTATGCACAAACAATGAATCATGGAACACTTCATCTAAAACTAATGATGTAATGTATGGGGATTAACATAAGAATAAAAAAATATAATTAAAAAAATATTGATTTAATGAACGAATGGACACAAAGATCTGGCTGGAGGGCAGTTATCAGCCACTTTCCGAAGTGGCTGCCCTTGGTGACTTCAAGTTCCTGACTCTCTTGACTAGCTCTTTAGAGGTCTCCTGGTGGTGGAGGGCCAGCAGCTTGGCTTTCAACAATGGGAATCTCCAGGTATCTATATACCTCAGAGTCCAGAGTCAACCTCTATCCTAACCCCAGATATCACTGATCTATTCTAGGCACAAGGGATAAAATAGTGAACAAAACAGACAAAATAACCCCCATTCTGATAAAGTCTTTTTTTTTTTTTGCACATGATGTTCTCTCTACCTGGAGTTCTCTTTCTCTTTCTTAAAGATTTTTTTAAATTTATTTATTAGAGAGAGAGTGAGAGAGAGAGTGCAAGAGGGGGAAGGGTTAGAGGGAGAAGCAGACTCCCTGCCGAGCAGGGAGTCCGATGTGGGACTCGATCCCGGGACTCCGGGATCATGACCTGAGCCGAAGGCAGTCGCTTAACCAACTGAGCCACCCAGGCGCCCTCTCTTTCTCTTTCTAATGCTAGTCCCCTTCCTAGCTCCTCAAGACCAGAAGCATTACCTCCCAGAAGACCTTCACAGTAGTCCTAAAGTTAGTCTATACTAATTGATAGAAAATTCTTCACAGTGCAGCTGTCTTAGGCCAGTTGCCTGTAAGGAGATCCCGAGGTAGGAATTGGGATGCACATTTTGTGTTGGGGGAGAATTGGGGTCAGATGCACATAATT